TCTTGCCACGTCATGCTCTGCTGACTCACCTCCACCACCTGCTGAATCAACCGCTGCAGGTGCTGCTGACGTCCACAGTACCACCTCTGACATCAGCAGTGCCTCGACTGACATCACCATCACCTCACCCGACATCAGCATCACCTCACCTGACATCAGCATCACCTCACCTGACATCAGCATGACCTCAGCTGACATCAGCATCACCTCACCTGACATCAGCATCACCTCAGCTGACATCAGCAGCCCTGGTCCTCTGAGTTCAATGTGCAATCTTTCCACCACCAGCAATCAACAAACACAGCACACTCAATGCGTATCCACAGCCATCCCCTCTCACCCGTCCTCTCCCTCCCTCCAGTTCCTACCCTCGTCGCAACCATCACGGCCCTTTTCCCCATCTTCCCACCTCTCCCCATTCCCATCATCATCACCCCTGTGTACATCTCCCATCTCACTCCTCTCGCGTTCCCCCCTCCTTCACTCGCTCCCCCACACTCGCACTCACTCTCTCCCAGTCATGACTTGCTCGTCGTCCTCCTCTACCCTGACCTCTTCCTCTACTCCCATCTCCTCCTCTCCGCCACCCGCTCAATCCCACCACTTTTTCCACTCTTTCGAACCTTCCATGCAGTTTCCTCATCTGCACCTATTCAGCCATCTCCCGCTCTTCAGGTCCGGCATTTCCGACCCTATCACAGCTTCGGCCGACCCTCTTGCCTTTTCTCATGCTGTTGCTGCCTCAGCAAGAAGACAGTCATTTCAGCAGCAGCAGGAGCAGCAGCAGCATCACCAGAGCCAGCAGCAGCAGCAGCAGCAGCAGCAGGAGGAGCGGCAAATAGAGGCAGAGTGTAAGAGATTGCGGAGGAAAATGGGCCTATCTGGGTGTACAGCTCTCCGAGGTGACTGTAAAGGATGTTCTTTTAGCAAGGCAGTTGCTCTTCAGATTCACTCAATGGGGGAAGGTGGGAAAACAGAGGGAAGAGTGGGAGGGACGACCGAGGGGAGGGTGAAGGAGCAGCTGGGTAGAGGAACGATGCAAGGGAGCAGTGGAAGGGAGGGAGGGAGCATGCAGCTGCAAGGTGCATTGAATCTGGACGTGCTGCAAGCAACCCTGTTCCCAAGGGCCATGGAGGACGGCGTGTGGCCGGAAGACTACACCATTTCTGACCATGCTGTGCTCACTGTGCGATTTGGGCGGAGTTGAGTCATGACGTGACTATGTGACGTGACTGTACAAGATGGCGGGAATTGGAGCTTGGATCTAGAAGGGTAATTGGTTCCTGCTTTTGTTTTTCTTTTGTGCAAGATAAGGAGAGGAGGTGCCTATTGTTGTTGATGCTTGAGATGTTTTACGCTGCAATGGGGGAGTTTGGAGCAAGAGCTCACCAATTTTGACTTGAGTAAATCATGTACCAGTGTTATGAGCACAGTCCATTCTCGCAACAAGGACAAGCAGTGTTGGAATCATCTCTATGTGACGAACAGTGAATTACTGTCATATCTATATTTAGTTCGTACGTCATCTGTAATAATCTGTAACGGAGTTGTTGCTGCAAGGCCGCCAATAATTACGCGGACCCGAAGTCAACTGCTCCACAACAACGAACGCGACGTAGCAACGTTCATCGAGCCGCACTCCAAGAAGACATTTGCGACTCGGCAATTCGTCTCAGACAATCCTCAATAATTGTGCGACACTCTTTTGACTTCACCATGACGTGACAAGCATTCGTTGCCTTGCCTCGCAAGCATTCCACCCTCTCCACAAGTCCTCGTCACAACCACTTTGAACAACAGTAGCGCAAAATTGACTGAACTAGGTTGCTCGACAAGGGTGGCCGAACAGTAATGTCTGCTGCGCTCTCAAGGCAAAACGAGTAGCATCACGTTTGCTTACTTTCAGCCAAGTCCTGCACTTCCATTATCATGGAGTCGCATAGTTCCGGAAATCCTATCAAGCGCATGAATGATGCGAAAGCTCAATCCGTTACTCACTGACCCACGCACCCGCACATACCATTTTTTTCCTTCTATTTTTTTTGTTGTGGTTTCCAGACGCGCTTTGTCTCCCTGGAAGCCTTGAATTTAGCCTTAGCGTGCTGTCTCTCACTTCAACCTCGTGCTCTCGGTCTCAGAAATCGACTGATTTTTACGCAATTTTCTAGCTTGGCCGGTCAGCGGCATTAGTTCTACTAGTCAGCGTATTGATAGCAAAGGTTTAGAAAAGGCCGATTCTTCTACCAAAGGTTAGCGTCGGCGGCCCGCGCAGAGTCAACAAGAAGGCGCGGAAAGATGGAGATTGCCGGGAAAGAGATACCCTTATGGGCACTTGTCGTAGCAGGCGTGGTCGCTGCGCTCATCCTCATTGCGCTGCTCTGCATTTGCTGCCGCTGCTTCAAGTCTTCCAAAGGCTGCTGCAAAGGCTGCTACAACGTGTTCTGCTGCGGCGGCTGCTGCTGCCCCTGGAAGCGCCATCGACGGGTCGTCGCGACAGATGACGCGGATGGCGGCGCGAAGGCGACTCCATCGAACAGCCTCGGCGTCAAGTACGGCAGCGGCTATAACTCCGCCGCGCCTTACGTCGCCGCTGGCGTGACGGCGATTACCATTCCGCCCGACGTCGGCGCTCCGCAACTGGCGCTGAAATCTCCGCACGCTGGCGCAAAGTTTTGGCGCAAGGTGCTGCGGTCGCCGGGGTTTAAAGACATGGCGCGGAAGAGAGCCGCGCAGCAGCGGAGCATGTCGTTTCAGCAGTTCGACCTGCTACAGTTAACTCGCGCTACAAGGAACTTCAGTAAGCAGAACTTTATCGGAAAAGGAAGCACGTCCGAGGTTTACCGAGGCGCGGGGCCCAACGGAGCGCAGTGGGCGGTTAAGAGATCCGTTTGGCGGCAAGGGGGCGGGGATGGCCCCATGCTGACGTTTCGCCCAGCAAACCCGGCGGCTTATGCGGAGCTAGAAGCGGATTTCATCTTCAGCGCGAAGTCTATGGCGGTACTATGCCATCAGAATGTGATTCAACTGCTGGGTTACTGTTTCGAGTGCGGCGAGAGGGTGCTTATATACGAGTTCGTGGGCGGTCCGAGTTTGGAGTCGATGATTTTCGGGAACACCGACGTGTGGAAAGAGAAAATTACGATGTGGAGAAGGGGTTCGCGAAACGCTCGCGCGCTCATGGACCTCGGGGTTGTCGCGGAGGGCGAGGAGGAAGGAATACCGTTCGATTTCCTGCACAGGCTGCTGATCGCCGTTGATATTGCCGAGGCGGTCGCGTACCTGCACACGGAGTTCCCTAGGCCGTATTTACTAGAGGGGTTGCATCCGAAAAACATTTTTTTCGACACGAACGGCGTTCCCAAGGTGGGCAACATCGGGCGGATGAAAGTTTTGATGTCCCGAGACATCACTGGCGGCGCGAGCATGCTGGGTGGGTTACCACACGCGCCGACGCTCGCAACCAGTGGTTACATCGACCCCAGTTTCAACATAACTAGGAAATCGTCGCCGCCCAATGACGTGTACGCGTTTGGCGTTATCCTCCTGCAGATCTTCACCGGCCGCCCAGCCGTGATTGAGAACGAGCCTGGCGAAGCTACCGCGAAGCTGGACCTAGGCACGTGGGTCTCGAAGCGCCTTAGGTCGGGAGGAGACGCCGGCATAGGGAGTATAGTGGATCCGCGGCTCGGCACCGCCTACCCTGCTGACGTCATTCGGAGAGTGTTACAGGTTGGGCTGGACTGTCAGCTTTTCCCCGCTAAGAAACGCCCCGCTATGAAAAGGGTTGCTGAGCGGCTATTGGCTATTCATGAGGAGTTGGTTAAGGAGGGTGGGGTGGTGGTGGTGGACATTCCCGAACCTGAGCCCGAGGCCGGGGAATTCGTGGTTGGGGAGGAGGAAGGGGGGAAGGTGAGTGTAGGAGAGAAGTTGGGGGAGAGGGTGGCGGAGGTTCGTGGGGAGGAGATGGGGGAGGGGGTGGCAGAGGTTCGTGGGGAAGAGATGGGGGAGGGGGTGGTGGAGGTTCGTGGGGAGGAGATGGGGGAGGGGGTGGCGGAGGCTTCTAGAAAGGAGACGGGAGAGGGGGCGACGGAGGTTAGTGGGGAGGCGATGGGGGAAGTTACTGGGAAGGTGGAGAGAGAAGGGGGAGGTGAGAAAGAGAGTGAGGAGGGGATAAGGAAGGAAGACGCAGGGGAGAGGGGAAATGTGGGAGATTCGGGTGTGGGGGGGGATAGCAGCGAAGAAGCGAAAGGGAGTGAGGAGGCAGAGAATCGGAAGAGAGGCAAGAAGGGGAAGAAGGAGAAGAAGGAGAAGAAGGATAAGAAGGAGAAGAAACGGAAGGAGGAGGATCAAGCAGAGAGGGAGCAAGTGGAGGTTGGGGTGGATAGCAACGTGTAGCACGCTCTCACAAGGCAAGGTGTACACTGGTAAGATAAAATATATCCCTCTTTTCTATATCTCACTCAAACTCTTTCCTGTATCCATTATTCCCATCATGCAGTCTCTCCCATCAAACTCTACATGTAATCGGCTCTTACCCTCTCTTGTGAGCTGGTACAACCCAAGCCCTCTCTTTGTCATTTATGTGTTTTTGGTCAGGAAAGAGAATAGTACCCGCAGCAGGGAGCATGGAGCAGGCTGCATTGTATTGGTGAGGCTGGAGGAGGAGAGGAGGCATGATTCAATTTCAGACAGCTTTCTTGGTGCTTTCGTTCAAATCTTGTTCAGATCAGATCATGAAGGTGAATAAGTGAGAACATGCTGAGCTGCCTGGAGCAGCACTTTCGATAGAATGAAATGCAATGCACATTGTTCACCCCAAGTGTAGTACACGTGTTTAGTGTCTAGTTGCAATACTCATTATTGACTCAACTATATGTTATTCCATGGTATCTTAAAGCATTCCAGTGAAATCCATATGAACACATAGGGGATGTTCAGGCACACAGCCAATCATTGTCCTTAAGAACCCCAGACGGTGCACCTCATCAAGCAAGCTCAAAAGGACACTCCTCTTGCCATGCCACCTATGGCCCTTGCAAGAACGCCATGCCATGCCATTCATCCCATGGGATGGCAGTGCACAAGGCACAGCTGCTCTTATTGAAGGGTAAGGCAGCAGAAGCTGCCTCGTTGACAGAAACCAGTACCTAAAAAACGAAGTATACTTGTAATGGAACAGCACACGTGGTTTTGTTCCAGAACTCCCAACAGCCAAGGCGCGCACCAAAGCCCCTCCTCACTTGCGCAGGTGCGGTGAAACCTTGGCATGGCCTCTAACCCGAACAAAAACCACCGCCAACCCCACCGCAACCACGAGAGCACCGACGCCGAGTGAGACTGCTAGCGCTATCACCCACGCCTTGTTCGAAGCAGCGGGAGAGCTCGCTTCTGTGGCTGGAGGGGCGCTGCTGAGGGTGGTTGATGGGTCTTGATTGCCTGAACCAGCCACACGCACTCCAGTTCAAAACAGGCCAGCCAGATGCACACAGAGGCACAGCAACGGGGGGAGGAGAGCATGATCGGATTTAGGATGTCACATGGGAAGGGATGCGAGGCCTGGTGGAATGGAGATGCCCCAGAAATGCTTGCCGTTTTCATTCCAAGGAGGTGGAACTGGTCTGATGAAAAGCGGAACAGAGAGTAAGAGCTGAGGAAGAGACCAGGAGAAGGGGCAGAGAATGATATTGAGATGGGGTGAAGGGGAGTCATCAGGTTGGCGCACTCACTGGTTTCTTGCACAGCCACCGCGTAGAGTCCAGGGCGCGGGGCAGAGAAGGTGGCAACGCTGGGGTGCTGCTGCTGCCACAGCAGACGCGCGTCCAGCAGCTGCCAGCCGTCCACTGGGGGGTTGCCATGTGGCTGGAGGGATGAGGATGGTGATGACGGTGGTGATGGTGGTGGTGGTGGTGGTGCTGATGGTGATGGAGGTGGTGGCAGTGTGGGCGTGGTGTGAGGGTGGAAGAGTATGGTGATGGCAGGAGATGCAGGGAGGGATGCATTGATGGCAGAGGAAAGAACCTCCTGCAGCGACAAGCCCTGCACAACCACTACTGCTGCTGCTGCTGCTGCTGATGCTGCTGGTGGAATGGGTGTTGCTGCTGCTACTGGGGCTGCCGTGGGTGCTAGAGCTCCTGCCTGAAGGGTCACTGTTGATTCAGGTTCAGCCTTCTGCGCTTGCATATCAGCACATGGAGTGTTGTCGTTGCTAGGGTCACAGGGGTCTGGGAGGGTGAATCCGATCATAAGCAGAGGCGATGCAAGGGCAAGACGGGACCGGGGGGCGGACAGGGACGCAGGCCCCACTCTCGTGCCCGCAGCAGGAGGGTGAGATTCGGGCTGAGGAGGTGGAGCAGGAGGGAAGGTGAAGGATACGACGTCAGAGAGCACGTTGAAGACCAGAGGCGTGCCTTCCACTGCTGCTGCTGGACTCGGCGCCGCTGCTACACCTCCATCCACGGATTGTCCTTTCAGCTCTTCTCCCCTCACGCCTTCTTGCCCCCTCCTCCATTCTTCTCCAGTGACCTCTTCTGCTTCTCCGCTCCTCACCTCTCCTCCCCTAGCCACCAGCACCTTGAGGCTACCACTGCTGGCAGCACTGGGCGCCATAAGGGACTCTAGAGTGGTGGACGCAGGTGGCGGTGAAGGGAGGGACGACGGGAAGTGTGATGGGGATGGTGATGGGGATTGGGATGGGAACGGGGATGGGGATGGTGCTGCTGATGGTGAGCTGGACTGGGTCATGCCGGTGGTCAGGCTTCTGCCTTGTTGAGCATGCTCCCAGGCAAATGGGGCCGGCAGCATGGCAGCGCAGCGGCCGTCACATGCAATGGCAACAGTGGGAAAAGAGGCTGAGAGAGGGCGGGACGGAGTGTATGTGCCTGCAGTGGTATCAGGATGAACTGCACTGCCGCCACTGCCAGGATGACCATTAACACCACTCTCCACTCCCTCACTCCCCCCTTCACCCCCTCCCTCCTCTCTGCTTTCCACCCCAGCCAGGGATATCGCCCACGCACTAACAACAAACTGCACCGAGGGCGGGTTTGGGTCTGCATTCCCTGCTGCATCCACTGCCCGAACGCTGAGCGCATAGACACCATCCGGGAGAGCAGCACAGAGAGATGCACCGAGAGGGGGATTCAAAAGAGGCGATTGAGTGGGGAATGACAGGGACGGGAGGAGTGAGGCGAGGGTGATGTCTATTGTGAGTTGAGATGGGGGCTGTGGCAGTGGCAGGACCGTGGAGCTGTCTGTGCTGTGATTGGTCGGTGGCATGTCTTGCACGAGGGGGATCGAGCCAATGCAAGGCTGCCAAGTGGGAATGCCTCCATTGGTGCCTCCTCTCTCCTCTACACCTCCTTCTCCTCCTGCTCCTGCTCCCCCTCCTCCCATCATCGCCTCCAGTTTACACTCAAGGCGCACCACCCCACTCCCTCCCTCCTCCTCCCTCCCAAACACCTGCATTGTGGGGCTCAGTGAGGAGACGACACCTGGCACGCTGCCATTGGCCCACGAGATGGACGTGGAGGGTGGGGTGGTGTCTGGTGGAGGAGGACGGGACGGGAGGTAGGAGGGAAGGATGCATGAAGGGATGGCAAAAGCAGAGGCATAAGGTCGCAAAAGCAAAAAGAAACAATCCGAGGAGTGACTCTAGAAGGGTGAGATACGGTGTTACAGAATCAGGCAGGAGGACAAGCAGCCGGGGGGGTCAAGTGAGGAAAGAAGAGGGTCAAGCAAGCAGAGGAGGCCGATGATGGGAGCAATGGAAGTCGGTAGGGGAGCAAGGGGCATGCAGGGCTGGGGCAGAGGTAAAAGTGTAGAGAAAGAGACAAGGGCACGGAGAGTCAAAGCAGGGAGAAAAATCGGCATGCCAGGGCACTCACCAACGGTCCAGGAGAACGCTGCCCACGTCCCTCCACTGCGTTGCTCCCCCACCAGCCGCACCCAGAGCTGGTTTCGGCCGTCAGGGAGAGAGGGCAGCACGATGGGACTGCTGCAGGGCCATGCGAGGAGGGGTGGTGGGGGAGGAGACTGGGAGGGCATGGACTGATTATAAGTGGCGGAGGAGAGGAGGGGCGTGGAAAGCAGGACACATTCACAAGGAGCTGTTGGCTGCTGATTCAGTGTGTCCTCGTTTGAGGACGTTCCGTTACTGTGTACAGTGATGAAGTGGACCGTGGCAGAGCTGTTGCTGCTGTATGCGGGTGGAAGGGGTGCGACGAATGACACACCACGAGCATCATCATCATCATCATCATCATCATCATCATCATCATCATCATCAGCAGCAGCAGCAGCAGCAGCAGCAGCAGCAGTCTGTGAGACGGTTCTACCACCATCGGTGCCGGTATCAGGAGAATCGACTTCGCTGCTTCCTTCTCCTCCTTCTTCCTGGAGACCTGTCACCACCACAGGTGCCTCCACAGTGAAACTGCTCATAGCAGGTCTGGTGCTGACAATACCGCCTCTGTCTCTCGCCGCAACCATCAATATGTACTGCCCAGGTGAAAGCCCAGGTGCTTTCAACGGACTGGTGCACGGCGCCCAGGCTCCTGGAGATAAGATTGGAGGCTCTGGCGAATCAGCCAGTGCCACGTGGCAGAGGAATACCGAAATTCCGGAGCCCGACTGGCCGTCTGAACCTATGTAGGTGGCGAGTAAGGTAGCGGAGGGGAGTGAGTTGGGTAGCTGGAAGGATGAGTTGGGAGGAGTGGAGTTGGAGGTGTTGAGAGGAGTGGAGTCAGGTATGACGAAGAGAGATAAGATTTGCGCTGTTGGGGGTGAGGTGTCTACTGTGAAATCTAGCAGCACTGGTTCTGCTTCGTTCCCCGCCCAATCAATGGCAGACAGCTGCCACGTGTACGTGCCATCTGGCAGGTTGTAGCGCACGGGGCTGACACATGGCGAGAGGGGAATGGTGGAGGAGAGGGGAGGAGAGGAAGGGGAGGAGGAAGAGGAGGAGGAAGACGAGGAAGGGGAAGAAGAAGAGGAAGAGGAGGAAGAAGAGGGAAAGGAGGCAGGAGAGAGCGAGGAGGTGACAGAAGGAGATGACAGGAAGGGGTTAGCGGGTGGGATGGGAGGAGAGGCGGTGAGTCGGCAGCTGAAGGTAACCATTTTGGGGGCGAAGAAGGAGAAGACAGGTTGGGGCTGACTGAGGATGCTAGGGGGTTGGGAGAGCAGCAGCGCACGTGGACGAGTGCTGTCGATGGTGAAAGCTGCTCTGGCTGACGCGTTGTTGAGGCCGTGTCGGTTCCATGCTGACGTGGCACGCACACTGAAGAGGTACGCGCCGTCTGGAAGTGGTGCAGAGAGATACCACCCGCTGCTGCTGCTGTTAGCACTGCTGCTGCTGCCACTGCTGCTGCCACTGCTGGTGTTGTTGCTGTTGGTGCTGTCACTATCGTCACTACTGTTGCTGCTGCCATCCTGCCCCACCTGGAAGGGGCTGCTGCAGCTGCGCCAGTCAAAGAGGGGAGGCGGGGACGTGGCACCACTCCATGCCTGCAGTCTGCAGCTCCACTCCGCTGGCCCTCGTGACTCTTGTAAGTCTGGTGGCTCTTGTGACTGCAGTGGCTGTGATTCTGTTGATTCGGGTGACTCTTGTAGTTGTGATTCATGAGTGAATGGAGCACCTTCCTGGTTCGGATCCACCACTAGCAATGCCTCTAGCGCCTCAAAACCCATCTGTGAGGCCGCTGCCTGCCCAGAGCCCACCTCCCCATCAAGCCCAAAGGCGAACCGAACGCTCCCTAGGTTCGAATACACCGCCGGCGCTTCTAGAATCACTGCTTTCGGCAGGAGAGTATCGAGCGCCCATGTGACTATAGGGGGGGCGGGATCTGCATTCCCAGCCTGATCCACAGCCCTCACAGAGAAGGCATAGCGACCGTCATAGAAGCCAGAGTAAGTCACAGGGCTGGTGCAGTTAATCCAGTTATCCCTAGTGGTGGTCCCCTGTGCGAGATCTAAACGAGGGGTTTGTCCTCCTGGGCTTGTGGCAGGAAGTTGCTCGCTCTGTGTGACTACAGAGGGGGGAAACAGCCACTCGAGCAGGCGGGTGGGGATGCTGGTTGTTTGGCGGAACGTGATTGGCTGCGGGGTGATGGGGTCGGCGGGGGGAGGCGAGAGCGACGAGGCGCTGAGCTGGCATTGGAAGTGGCTGACGTCAGCAGAAGGAGAGGTGAAGGTGAAAGAAGCGGTTGTGGTAGTAGCAGGGGTATAAGCAGAGGAAAGTGTGGTGGTGGGTGCATCAAGATCGATAGCAAAGGTGGTCCTGTAAAGAGGGCTGATGAGGGTGTTAGTGTAGGAGGTGTCTAGGAGCTGAGCTGAGAAGACGTAGGTGCCGCTATCGAGGGATGGGAAGGTGACAGGGGAGGTGCACGGCCCCCATGGCAGCACCACCACACGGCTCTCTTCTTCCCCTGTGCCTCCCAATGCTGCTACCCCTGCTCCTCCTTCCTCTCCTGCTTCTCCTGCTTCCCCTGCCGACCCTGCGTCTGCCCCTTGCTCTGCCCATTCGTCTGCCACTCCTTCTCCTCTTCCCACACTGCCCAACGCCCCACCCTCTGCTTCTTCACTCGGTGCCTCTGCATCCTGAAACCCCCATCCGCCAACCCATTCATCCTCCACCACTGCAGACCCCCCAGATGGATCAACATCAATCTGCCTGTCCGTGCTGGTAACTGCTGCTGATGCCATAGCGTTGCTGCTGCTGCCGCCGCCGCTGCTGCTGCTGCCGTCGCCGCTGCTGCTGCCGCCACTGCTGCTGGTAATGGTGGTGACCCGAGTGAGACCGCAGAGGACAGTGGTGGCGGAGCTGGCGGGGAAGAGGAGCGGAATGGAGAGGAAGGGGTTGCTAGATAGGGGCGGGGGCGGGGGGTCCGCTTGCACATCTGGATTGGGGGGGAGGCGGGGGTGCGGGGAAGGGAGCGAAAAAGGGAAAGATAGGCAGGGGAATGAGAGTTGAGAAAGAAGGGATTGGAGAGCGGGAAACGGGTGCCGTGCCTGTCAGAAAGGGCCAGACAAATAGGTTAGGTAGGGGAACAAGGGAGAGAGTATCAGGATGATAGGGTGTGGCGGGGTGAAGGAGGGGTAAGGAGGGGTAAGGAGGAGCCGGGAGAAGCAAGGAGGGCTTAGGGAGGGGTGAGTAAGGGCAAGGGGGGGCAGGGAGGTGCGAGAAGGGGCGAGGAGGGCTCACAGAGGCAGTCGACTTGGGTGATGGGGCCTCTGGCAGCCACAGCAAAGCGCTGCCCACCCTCCCTGCTGCTAGGAGGGCTGCTGGGGGGACTGCTAGGGGACCCCCTAGGCGTCCTGCTGCCAGGAGTCCTGCTGAATACCCTGCTTGTGGGGCTGCCTGAGGGGTTGTCTGGTGAGGAGTCTGAAGCGGTGTCTGGAAGGCTGTCAGGTGCCGTGCCTGGCATGGGCATGTTGACCTGCACTGCCCTCACGTCCACCGTGTACACTCCAAGTTGCGGTGCTGTGATGTGCACCTGGGGGCACATGCAGGCACATGGGGGGCATGAGAGCATGAGCGCATGCTTAAAGGTTGTTTGGAGGGCTGTCAGGTGCCTTCCCTGGCATGGGCATGTTGACCTGCACTGCCCTCACATCCACCGTGTATACTCCATGCTGTGGCGCTGCGATGTGCACCTGGAGGCACATGTGGGCACATACGGTGCGGGTATGAGGGCAGACGGGTGGCATGGTGGCAGAGGGGTGGCATGGGGGCAGATGGGTGACATCAGGGCAAGGACAGAAAGATACCTACTCAATGATTTCTTCTGCGATGCCCCAAAAGACCTTTGAGCCGTCTGAAAACCGCAAGTACAGTGTTGCGGTTTTCAGACCTTGCGGACATCAACAGTGTTGCGGACATCAACAGTGTTGCGGACATCAACAGTGTTGCGGACATCAACAGTGTTGCGGACATCAACAGTGTTGCGGACATCAGGGCGAGCCCCCCATTCCCAAAGAAGGTGTGACCGGTGGGGGAGGTGACAGCGAGGTCCAGGTTGTTCACCAGCAGTACCACTGGCACCATAACCACCATAATCCCCAGCAGCACCAGCAGCACCAGCAGGTTGTTCTGAGAGGTCCTACCTGCTCCACAGTGTTACGGGCGTCAGGCGCCAGCCCCCCATTCCCGAAGAAGGTGTGACCGGTGGGGGAGGTGACTGAGAGGTCCAGGTTGTTCACCAGCAGCGGTGTCGCCGCGTTCTGATTCGCCACCAGTGCTGCCGGTGCGTCGTACCTGGAGAGAATGGAACCAAGGAAGCGAAAAAATATTTGGTGAGTGTGAAATGGAGTGGTTCAGCGAGAGTCTAGAAAAAGACTAAACGGAACACTAACCAGGTGAGTGTGATCTTGACATCCTCGCTCCCTGTTCCACCATCACTCCTCCCAGGATCAACCAGCAAGCAAACGCGGTAGCCGTTACCGGTCTTCAGAGCAGGTCCCTCGATTGCCACTGTAGTGAAGGTTGCTGTACCCGCTATAGGCACAGCATTGCCCAGGTGCACACGGCCAAAGCCCTGGTTCATGGAGGGTGGTGCGTCTATAGGGTAACGGTCACCTGGTGGGTGGAGATCAGGGGACATGACTATTCATTGAGCCATCTTAAAAGGCGAAGCTGTGGTGCATGCAAGAGGCACTTGTTGGGGCCTGGGGAGAACTGATACAAACTGAAGAAGGCATCGGAACAGCAAAAGCGAGCAGCAATGGGAGGGCAGGAAGCACAGAATGCAAAGTGATGGGAGCAACGGGCAAAGAGCAATGGACAGAGAGCAAAGCAAAGAGAATTGACAAGTTCTTGCCTTGTTTTCAAGCTCACCATTTGCAATGGTGAGAGGCATGGCGCCATTTATCAACGTAGCCTTGAGCAGCATGCCACTTGGCACGAATCCATTGGCTGGAACCTAGTGGAATGCAACAGCACAAAAGTGGTGATGAGATAACGGAAGAAAATCGCAGCATGGTAGAAACAGAAGGGGTAATGCATAGGGTTACCCTTTGGCCAGTGGGGTAGAAGCCGTCCATGAAGTATTGCCTGAGCAGAGCAGCCGAGCCAGCAGTGATGGGCGTGGCCATTGAGGTGCCTGACATCTCTGGATGAGGGGGAAGAGGAGAAGCAGAGAAGAGGGGGGCGCAAGGACCATTCGAGAGCATTCACAACAGCAGCAGCCGAGCAAGCAGTGATGGGCGTGGCCATTGAGGTGCCTGACATCTCTGGATAGCGGGGAAGAATGGTTGACAAGAGCAGAGTAGAGCAGAGCGGAGCAGAGCTGAGCAGAGCGGAGCAGAGGGGAGCAGAGGGGAGCAGAGGGGAGCAGAGGGGAGCAGAGCAGAGCAGAGCGGAGCAGAGGGGAGCAGAGGGGAGCAGAGCGGAGCAGAGTGGAGCAGAGCGGCGGCTGATGGGCATAGCACCTGACGGTTACATGCGGGGCACCTGAGGGACATGTGAAGGGCATCTGAGGGGCTGACTGCAGCACTCACGTGTAACAGAGCACGATGGCTGGCGAAGGTTGCGGTTGCTCTTTGCTGACCATATGCCCTCCCCTGCCAAGTGTCAACGCACAAAGAAAGGCGATGACAAGGAAGGAGTGAGACAAGCAAAGGGAGGAAAGGGATACGACAAGGAAGGGGCGAATCAATCAAAGAATTGTGCATGAGAAGCACAGGGAGTAGTGAGATACACACAAGCACCGGGAGAGAGCAACCAATCTTCAGTTTTGCAGGGCCCAAGAACAGAATATCTTGCATTGAGGGACCGAACATAAGCAGTACCAGCCTCATTACCTGGAGCAGAGATGTCAGGCTTAATGCGGCCATCAGGCGTGGGACCCCATGAGGAGAAGCGCGCCATGCTATCGGGGCGGAAGGCGAGCGACACTGCCAGGGGCGAGATGGACACCTGTTGGGGGGGAATGGTGAAGGCATGTGAAGGCAGGTGAAGGCAGGTGAAGGCAGGTGAAGGCAGGTGAAGGCAGGTGAAGGCAGGTGAAGGCAGGTGAAGGCATGTGAATGCAGGTGAAGGCATGTGAATGCAGGTGAAGGCATGTGAATGCAGGTGAAGGCAGGTGAAGGCACATGAAGGCAGGTGAAGGCATGAGAAAGCAAGAAGCACGCACCTGCACAGGCTGGCCCCTCCTGAGAGCCGCATCTATAATGGCGCCCACAGCTTGTGGCACAGAACCACCTGGCACAGCCATGGGGGAGCGAAACAGCACAGATGGCACAAAGGATTGTGAGACGAGGTTGAGGACAACAGAAGTGCTACTGAAAGAAATCTTGCAGGTGAATGGAGATGCACTGAATGGCTTGGCCACGTAGGGGTTGGGTGTGATGCTGCTGGGTGGAGCGCAGAGTGAGAAAGAGAAGAAGCAGTTTTTGGGTGGTGTGGGAGGTGGTGTGAGAGATGGTGTGAGATCGCACCTGGGATGGTGATGCTGGGGTCAGCGCCAAAGGGAGCAGCCATGGGGAAGTAGCCGAGCGTGTCATTAGCCACAATCACTGCTGCTGCTGCACCTGCTGCCTGCGCGTTCCTGAACTGAAATGGTGAGTGTGGCACGTTGTAAGGAGAAACAAACGCAGTAGATTTTATGTGAAGGAGGGATGAGCTGTACTGAATTGGCCATACACGTGACGGCTGCTGCTGGGACGACTTTGAACTGCAAGGCCTTATGTGAAATGCTTTAGCAGCGCCATGATGTGGGCGAAGCAAGAGGAAACAAATTGCTGAAACAGCCTGGCGTTGACTGAGAGTGTGAGTGAGTGTGGCAATGGGAAACGGAACGGCATTGTTCTGACGCAATGCCCTAGTTCTGACGCAAAACACAGATTAGAACAAGAAAATAGCACAGAAGAACTTGAAAACCAGCAGCGTGACTGTGTTGTCAGAGGAAAGAACGGCAGCAGAGTGGCACCCACCTTATCCGCAAAGAGGCAGTTTCCCGCATCAAGCAGCACAATCAACCCAGCCACACTCCCTCCCGCGCTCCCACTACCGCCCCGCACTGCTCTGCACCCATCCCTTGGCTCGCCCCTCACCAGCCCCCATGGCACCCCCACCTCCCATAGGCCCGACTGGAAGGTGGCGCCAAAGGCGTGTGAGAGGAGAGGGTACCAGGCGCGGTCGGAGGGGAGGAGGGAGGGGGAGGGCGCGAGGAGGGAGAGGTTGAAGGGCGTGGCGAGGAGGGGCGGGGCGGAGCCGACACTGCCGAGGGTTGCGCCTACTGTGAGACAGTTCTTGGCGAGAGCAGGCGATGAGATGGAGACTGGGGGAGAGGGGGAAAGGTAGGGGTTGGGAGTGTAGGTGGCTTGGTTTACGAAGGAGATATTCATAATCGGAAGGGTGAGACGGAGAGGGTCGCCCCCACTGTGAGGCAGGTGACGAGATGGAGACTGGGGTAGCGGTGGTGGGTGGGGAGGGTGTGACGAGTATAAGAACCACACACGCACCTGCGTCTCGGTGCACAGCGCCCATGTTGCCTGCCGCGACTACTGGGAGGAAGTTCTGCCACGGGACAGAGAGAGGGAGAGAGAGAGCACGGATCAGGGGAACAGGAACAGCATGGTTAGAGGCATGGATGTGTTGTGGCTTGGATGAGTAAGGACTTAGGGATGACATCTTTCCACAGGCTGCCTGCCTGTTGCTGATTGCAGCATGTTAAGAGGCACAGATAGTTCTGGGAGCTCACAGGGTTGTTGAAGGTGAAGCGGTCGACTGACTGCGCCATGTAGTCATATGCAAACACTCCTGACGCCCACGAGTCCGAGTGGATCAACGCCCCCGCCTTCATTGCCTGCCTGCACCCACAGTTACACCACCGGGAAGCTGAGCAGAGTGAGGCAAAATTGGACCGCAACAGCTAAGCCTAGAGGAGGACTTATCACATTCTATGGCGGATGATGACACATCGACCAATCACCCGAGCAACACATGAACCTCAGCAGAGTTTCACTCACCCATAGTACCCACTGCCCAGGTCACCAGGCGGCATGATGTAACCCACATCGCCCTCGCCCATGTCAGTGAAGGCAATGCGTGCATCAGGCGCCATGCCAGGGTACAGATCCACGTTCTCTGGCCCCTTCGCCCCCTGCTGCCCCTGCTGCGGTTGCTGTGCTTGCTGTTTCTGCGAGCAGGCCCCTGCCACGGAGCCGGCCACGTGGGTGCCGTGCCCCAGCTCGTCCACTGTGTCGCCGTTCACCACCCGGTACTGCACCACCTTGCGGTGATCCGGGCCTGGCAGAGGGACGGCATCGTCCCGGAAGAAGCAGCTGCAGGGGCGAGGGGCACGTGAGAGGAAGGGAGGCTAGCGTGAGTGAAAGCTGATTCGAAGACATTCCAGCGAGCAGCTGATTTGAAGAGGGGGTGGAGAAAAGCTGGCGGGTAACCACGAGCGCCTCAAAACTAGAAGGGGCGAGGGGCACGTGAGAGGAAGGGAGGCTAGCGTGAGTGAAAGCAGAGCCGGCCACGTGGGTGCCGTGCCCCACCTCGTCCACCGTGTCCCCGTTGACCACCCGGTACTGCACCACCTTGCGGTGAGTGGGGCCTGATAGGGGCACTGCTTCGTCTTGGAAGAAGCAGCTGGAAGGGTGAGGAGATGAGTGAAGGAGAGGGAAAAAGGTCGTTCAAGATCCTTGGAAGTTCGTCCACAGCGTCTCCGTTGACCACCCGGTACTGCACCACCTTGCGGTGATTGGCGCCCGGTAGAGGGACGTCCTCGTCCCGGAAGAAGCAGCTGGAAGGGTGAGGGGCTCAGGAGAGAAAAAGAGATGAGCCTGAGTGAAAGTGTGGATTCAGTGTGGGTGAGGCAACGGAGAAGGCAAGAAAGGCAGAACTTGCAATGACACGGAGAAGTACATGGCGTAGAGCAGGAACGGCGCAAAAACAGAAAGGTCAGCGAAAGAGTAGGACTCTGCTACACTCCCACCTCTGCATGTCAATGCCGCTGTCACCAATTCCCACGATCTGCCCGGCCCCCGTGATTCCAGCACTCCAAAGGAGCCGTGCCACCCCAAACTCACTCCTCTGCTGCTCACTACCATCTCCTCCGCTGCCTGACCCTGGGGATCTAAACCCTGGGTCATCGTCTAGGCTAACAGAAGAGCCGCTTTGAGTGACAGCAGAGGCCCACCGGTTGTGCAGGCGAGAGCGGGGCCGAGGGGCGACCCACTGCACCCACCCCTGCTGCTGCAGCCAGCGCAGCACGGCAGGCAGGAGGGGATTTGGCGCCGCCAGAACCAGCAGGCCTTGACTGGTGACGTCATGCTGATGATGATGATGATGCCTCTGCGTGGTATCAGATGTGGTGCTATGCGGTATGCTGTCTGCTGCTGATGAGCTTACATCATCATGACTTGAGTCGTGAATGGTGGTGCTGATTTCTTCGAGCGACACACCGAAGGTAGAGCAATACAAACTGTCAGATGTCTCCAGAAGCTGGGTGCGCGGATCATCCAGATTCTTCGGTCGATTGACATGTTGCATTGCTCCAGCAGGGGTACTATCTGACGACTGGTTCACTGCGGAGCTTGAAACCGGCGGATCTGGTAGACCAACTGAATCTGATCCGATGATTGGTTGCTGCAAGTGGTCGAACTTTTCACACAGGCTGCTGTGGATGAAGGATGCGTATGCTTTGGAGTTGCTGACCGGGCCTTGATCCGGCAGCACGACTGTGATAAGTGGTCGGCCTTGTTTGTCCACATCGATCATGTCATAAATAGAGCTTTCCTCCTTGATGTCATCCGCGGTTTTGTAGTGCCTGAAAAGGGAAATAGCCTGATTCAGCACCCCAACGTTTCACAAAAAAGCGACGACGGAAAGACAGCATATGATAACAACAGCAATCGACACTTAATTGCGAAGTCTGAATTAGAGAGCGAAGGTAAGAAACAATGGAATGAAGCAGTGACTGACCGTAAAATCGGACCCCATTCAGGTGCTAGCTTCGACTCTCCCTGTAGACGACCGATCCATGACACGTAGGAGAGCCGACTAAGCGAGCGAGCCGCCTTAACACAGGGAAGCAGAACCAGATACGAGTCGACTGGTACGTAGTTCAGGACCCGCCCGCCGACTGCATGCACGTCTTTAAAAAGCCGCTCTCTGATACCTTCTCTGCTACTCTGGGAGTCTTCGTCGGTGAACTGAACGAGAACGTGCACTGCGCGGAGAGCACGGACGAACTCAGTCGAACGGAGTGGTTTCCGGTCCCCGTCCTCCCTGACTCTGTTCCGATGGCGTTCTGGAGAACGTGAAGTTGCATCCCCAACCGACGATTCTGGTTCGTCATCGTCGCAACCGGAAAATTCGAGCAAAGCGGTCTTCGATATTCCATGTAAACTGATGTTGGGAAACACAAGGCAAAAACGTCAATGGCGGTCTTGGATATTCCAGTGAGAGTGGAGCAAGCTGGCTGCTGTTTTGATGGTCAATTCTTGGATTTCACCAATTTGCACTTCTCAGCAAAGGCACTTCGCTTACCACAGCTCTCTGTTCCCAAAGTCGCAGACCAGCAAGCGAGTGTCGATGGATTGGCTCGCGAGCACAATCGGTCGTCGCACGATCTCTGAGGATGCCGACGCAACAAGAATTGCGATGACACAGACCACGAACAGAAGGGAGCTTACGACAGACATCGCGGAACCGTCAGCGAGCTTCACGAAGGACGGACGACAGAAAGATTCGGCACCAACTTCACAGAGAGTAAGTCGCAGCCTGTAGATGTGCTCTTCGCATCAACGACTCGCGTGGCGAAAATCGCTTCAGCTGAATGCCACTTGGTGTCGTCGAATGTCGCACGAACCTTTCCCGTAACGCGTCTTTTCCAATTTGCCCATTCCTGAGCAATAGGCATTTATGGAGCAAGGTTAAAAGATTGTAAGAATTAAGGGTCATGTTATGCAAAACGCCGTAGTGGATTAGTGACAAGTCAAGAGACCCTATCTATTAACTACAGCAATGAATCCTCACTTTACCCCATAGCTCCTCCCAGCACCACTGCAGTTTTCCCCTGTGCATCTGCAATAACATCCAATAGCCATTTCTTGAGCAGCTCCAGCCGTCGGGGCCCTACCACCACCCTCACACCCTTCCTCTTCACTCCCAGGGGGCGCATAAACTCCTTCCTGCGCCTCCTCGCGCCCTTCACCTTTTCCTCTTCTTCTCGCTCCCCATTCCGGCGGCGTTTCCTAGGCAGCTCCTTTTCTGTCTTCTTCTGCATGTTCTTGGCAGCAGGCTTGACTATCTCCACGTCCGCTAGCCTTTCCTGCCGTCCGTCCTTCTGCTCCTTCTGGATCTGCTGCTTCTCCTGCTGCGGCTGCAGTTGCTGCTGCTCCTGCACATCTTGTAGCACGCTGCCTCTATTTTCAATCTGACGCATGCCTTCCCCACCTTTCCTGGTCGCACTCTGTGCCAGCAGCACCCGAATCAGCCCACTGCTTCTGCACTCCCGCAACTCCCCAAGAATGCTGCCGCCAACGCTTCTGCTGCCAGTGTGAACGTTGATGCCGCTGCCGTTGCTCACACTGTTCCCACCAATGGTGCTGCTGCTGCTGGCACTGCTGCTGATACTTCCGGTAATGCTGTTACAGTCAGCATTCCCTGCTGTCTCTCCAGCCACTGCTGCCACTGACTCTGCATATGCAACTTCAATAGCACTTCGACCACCACTGATTGCGTTACAACTGGTGCTCAAATGGCCTGCAGAATCAACAGCAGCCATCCCAATCGCAGCAGCAGAGGTCCCAAGGTTATTCGTCATACTGCCCCCACCACCCAAAACCGCAGCCGCAGCAGAAGCAGCAGCAACTGCAGCAGCAGCAGCCGCAGCAACAGCATCAGCTGTGCTCACCCCTCCTCTTACTCCCAGCCGCGCCGAACCTCCGGCCGAGCCCAGTGATGCGGATCGGCCGAGGATGGTCCGGGGAGGGGTGGCAGCGGGTGACAGGGAGGAGTCGATAACAGTGGAGGAGGGAGAGGAGGAGTAAGGCGGTTGGGAGTGGGAGTGCTTATGATTGGCTCCCCGGATCACAGTTGAGGTGAGGCGACGGCGCGGGTTGATGCTAGTGGTGGTGGTGGTGGCGGCAGTGGTGGTGGCAGTGGTAGTGCCGGTGCTGGTGGTAGCGATCGTGGCAGCAGGCGGCATGTTGCTGGGGTTGTTTGTCTTGGTATTGATAGCCGGCGAAGGGGAGGGCTTGGGGAGGCGAGCAGGAGAGTCAGTGGAAGGGCCGCTCTTGGCAACAGTCATACCGGACCCAACGGGCTCGTCTTGATTGGTTCCAGTAGCTGTGCCTGTGCACATGGCTGCAACCTTACTTGGTTCATTTTCATTACTCTGCGCGTCGTCATGAATAGCCGCGCTCAGGTCCCATTGCCGGAGCACATCGTCCAGCCTCACTCCTCGGTGAAACGGGTCGCTAAAAAACGAGTCACTGTCGCTGCCGCTTCCGGCAGCAGCAGCAGCAGCAGCGCCTTCATCTTCCCGTGCAGCAGCAGCAGCAGCAAGGGTGCTGCGAGTTACAGCAGAGTTACCAGTATCCGCAGCAACTGTAACACCAGATGCAGCTGCACCCGCCTCAGAGCCCTCCGTACCCTCCTCTATAGCGGACAGGCCCCCTGTTATCCCCTCACCCTCACCACCACTCCCTCTTTCCTCCGACGAGAGAGTGAGGAAGGGCGGAGGAGCACCGAGGGACGGCGTGCAGTCCAGGAGAGAGGAGGGATCGATGGGTGAGCAGGGGAGGGAGTGTGCGGTGGGGTGGGGGGGATGGAAGGAGAACACGAGGTCAGGGGAGCAGGACGAGTCGGTGGAGGAGAGCTGGTCGAATCGGGGTTGGAAGAACCCGTCGAATGGGAAGTAGTCCTGTGATGCCGCATGCGGTTGGGCTTCAGGCTGCTCAGCAGCTGCTGCAGCAACAGCACCATCACCAGTAGCAGCAGCAGCATTACCACTGCGTGCCTTCCTTCCCCTCTTCCCTCTCTTACCCCTCTTCTCCCTCTTGCCCCTCCCCTTCCTCTCATTATCGTCACCACTACCCGCACCCGAATCACTGCCACTGCTGCTGCTGCTGCTGCATTTGATGCTAATAACATCGTCGTTATAAAACGGGTTCCAAAGTTCCACCATACTGCATGTCTCGCTCGCCTCCCAATCTCTCGGCGCCCTCGATCCTCCGCCACACAAAGTGTTCCCCTCAAGCCCCCTTGCGCCTAACACCTTTCCGCACCCCCCTATTCCCTGTCTGACATCTCTCCAGCGGGGCTCCGCTGCGTGCTCTCCGCCACCGCCTTCCCCTCCCTCGCCGCATTCCGCGTTGCCCGCCTGCTCTGTCCGCCCTTCCTCTTCAGCTCGCTCCGCTTGCACACTTGCTGCCACGTCACCCGACACGTCCGCGCCCGCATCTCTTGTTATCGCACTTGCGCCGTTCCCCGCACTTGCGACGTTCCCCGCGCTTGCGCCCTCCCGCGCAATTGCGCCGGCCCCGCCAGTTGCGCCCTTCTCCGCTCTCGTCGCCGCCGCTCTCTCCTGAAGCGCCGCTTCGGATTCTACAGTAGCTACAGCCGCCGGCGGCCGTCTCGCAAATGCTGCCGACCAACCGGAGTTGCCGTCTCCGCCTGCCGTCCTGCCGGCCGCCGCATCGCGCAGCCGTCCGCTGCCGTCCAAACTCCGCGATTGCCGACGTTCCACGTCCACTAGCGCACGCCCCGCGCCACCTTCCCACGGAGATCTCGCGCCGTCGTGTTGATTGCGAAGACGCACGGAAGACACGCCGCTGTCCGCGTCGCTCGCCGTGATTGACGCCGCATCCGCCGCGGGGGCGCCATCGGTCGTCCACCAGCTTCGTCCCACAGTCGCAGAGGAGTCGTTTTCGTCGCCGAAATTCGTCGCATAGCCGCCGCCAGACCTTCCACCTTTCCGCCTCCCACGCGGACTCTGCGACCGGCAAGTGCGCGGACTGATCCCGCTGGCTGCTCCTCCGCCTTCCCCCCTTCGCGCCAATCCCCCTGCGGCGATGATTTCCGCCGCCCGCGCGGACTCCGCGGAGTCCCCTTCCTCCTCCGCAAGCAGGCTGCTGCAGTTCGGCGGAAGGCTCCGCGCCCTCCTTGCTCCCCGCGTCGCTCGCCCCTCGCGCCGCCTCAGCGAACCATGAATAGCCTCTCTAGGCGCTTCGGCTCCTCTAAAAGAAACATCGTTTCTGTGTAGCATCGGTATATCCGACCTGTCTGGACTTGTCTGTGCGTTCCGCTCCGCAAAAGCGCTTTCCGTTCCTAATGATATTGCGTTTCGCCCTCCTTCAGCCGCTTTTTCGTCTCCTAGACTGTTTTCGGCCCCTAGCGCCCGCCGTGTCACTTCCGCGAAAAGAGCACGATTTTCGCCACCGTCTGTGTTACTCGTCTGATCTCGCCCGTCCCTGTCATCAGCCACGTCATCATCGTCCGGGAACATAACATCCCGGTCCCAGTCCACGTCGTCGACGCACGGCACACCGCACAGGTATCGGCGGTAGCGCGGAGTCCGCGGGCTTCCGATTCCGCAGGTGGGCGGAAAGCTTTGGGAACATCGCGACGGGCAAGATCGTCCGGAAAACGGGGAAACTGGACGGTGGGAGGTTTGCTCCTGCTGCTCCTGCTGCTGCTGCTGTTGGTGGTGGTGCTGCTGCTGGTGCTGCTCCTTCACGCGGTGACTAGTAAACGGACCGCGGCAAGTGACGGTGTGACCCCTCGCCGGGGAAGCTGGCGCCGATTGCGGACGAATAACAGGGATCGCACGCTCTGATCGAGACACACGCTCTCGGCGAAACCCTCTACGAATCGGCGATCCCAAGGCAACTCTAGCGAGCATCTCTAACGTTGTGCTGGTGCTATTAGCGGGGGGAGGCGTGACCGTCGTGGATTCGAGGTTAGTAGTAGCAGCAGCAGCAGAGAACTCGTTAGGGGGAATTGGGGGGATGGAACAATCAGGAGCGTTGCGACAATCGCTCGCCGTTCGTCGCAGACTTCGTCTTCGCTGGCGATCGTGCGACGACTCTCCACCAAAGTGATGCCGCCGGGCAAAGATACCCTGTTGAGAGGAGTTCGAGGGATGAGCAAGGGCAAGAAAACAAAGGATTGAACTTGTTGTCATGGGCAGTTGAAGTAACGCCAACGCACCGACAAGAAACGGGTCTCTTTAACAGACCCTTAAGTTTGCATCTAAATGTTACTGGGATCACTCTGACGGCCATCTCATGACGGTCATGCACTAATCCATGGCTAAAATCGGACGAAGCGACTCCTCCATTTCCAATCGATTGGATCAGGGACGTCCGTTAGAAAGCTGATCCCGATTTTTATTTAACAGCAATTCTTTTTTTTTTTACAGCAGTTGAAACGAGAGTCCTACCTGCAGCTTCTGAAGAGCTTCCATCACGCTCCTTTATGCCGCCGGGCTCCGTATTCCCCCTTTTACAAAGCGCTAAGCTTTCCACTAAGTAGTCTTCCTACAGCCAGCTATTTCCAGTGCAGTGTTGTGCGAAGAACGTTTTAAGCTCTCTAATTAGGCTGAACTAAAACACGACGAGCTAACTATAACACGGCGGGTTGTTCTACACGTAGGAATAGTCTGAAGTGAGTGCAATGAGAATCGTTGGTACAAGCGGGAGTTACGGAGTAAGAATCGCTGGTTCGAACAAGGAGCAGCACCAATGGGATGCGGAGCGTCCATTCCAAGTCTCGCCTGACTATGCGCTGAATTCAGTCGCGAGGGTGAGAGAAAATAACGCCATTTTGGTTGGACGCTAGAATTAGACGCGAAACCCCCCCGCTTGGTCAGGAAACTGCATAGTCAACTACACGAGGATGGCGAGCAAGTGAGCACGGAGTATACGCAGGTGAAACCGCCATTCTGGAATGAGGGTTGGAAGCAGTCGAGATTTACTGCTCACAGACCAAAGCAAGGCCAATAGATTTACACCGAGGATTAGCAGTTGCGACAGCAACGGTCAGGATGCACAGTGAGTCTCCCTCTGGCTGGCCCTGCTGATCCAAGCGTGGCTTTGAAATGAGTAGGACCTCGAGGGTGCTCACTGAAATCCACTCATCATCATCGGATCGGACACGCCGAATGGAGTTTGGCTGGCAGGCGGTGGATCTTGGGCCGAGAAAGTCCAGTGGCCACCTCGAGATTGCTTGTTGGGAGTGGCTTGGGGCACTTAGAATTTCCATCACATTTTCAAAACCACTGCGCGGGAAAAAAGAGCGCAACGGGGATTGACGATGGCCTTGGAGACTGACGCAGCCTTTGGAAGAAACGAGGAGAGCATGTACGGTGGGATTCGTTTTAAAGTGTTTTCATTTGGTAAAGCACGAAAACCGCTTCTGCCTTTTCCAATTCACCCAACCTCTAAAATCCTCGCGACCCGAGCAACGGGCTGCTCCGTGCCGTGAAGGGCTGGTTGATACTTTCTGCTTTTGTTTCTGACACGACACGATTTCTCCTATTGGTCACACCAGCTTGTTGAGCCGACGACCATTTTAGACAGTTGGGCGGGCGAACATCTGTCATCTGTCTCTCTGTGGTGTGGTACACCCTCATTCTCGTTAGACTGGCATATGTTATACTGCCGTGACGCTTAGTGTAGCCGCAGCGGACCAAAGAAGGTCCTATCACATGCGTTATACTGACAGTTCGACCCTGGGCGTTAAGTCAAGGTTCTATACGTTCTTAAATGGTAATGCTGTTTTCTAAACGGTAAAAACAGCTATTCAGCGTTAATGGAATTTTACGGCCCAAGTCTGGTTTCGTCGCCTCGTGCGACTTGGCCCGCAACCGAGTTATCTCACCAGCCCGCTACGTCCAAACACTGTAGCCACTGCTTCCGCCGGTGAGAAGACTGAGAATGAGGGTGTATATAAGAATGGCGGCTGTGTGGGGGCGTCGATGAGGACGGTGGGGCGGTCTTTGACTGATGGCATGCCTAGTGCCAAATTCTGGAATCGTCGATAACAGTGTGGACGATAACAGTGTTGTCTAAGTTCGTACAGTTGCACACAGTGGGTTTGTTGGCAAGTTCAGCCCATTCACAATGCCAGCAAGATCCTGCCCAAGAACCTCTGCTGCCTGTTGACAAATTCACATCGAGAGCGTGAAGCTCCTTCTAGGGCGTGTACAAAGTGCTGCACAAACTCGAAGTCGAGGAACGTCGGTGAATTTTGACGGTTGGAACCTTTGATCCGAGGGTGGAAATTCACCGACGCTGCTCGACGTCGAGTTTTTGCGCACTCTGCACTGCCATAACCCAGTGGAAGCTTCGAAACCCGGTGCACCGGGTTTGCCGTGGCGTTCCGCACCACGTTCCAAAGAAATATCATTTCTTGTTTTTTTTTTTCTCTCAATGTACATACAGAGGAACAATAGCAGACAGATGAAATATGGCACTGTATTCTCCGCGATCAATGCTGCGTGAACTGTAGGTAGCCAGTCTCCGGCTAATGTAGGCCCACACAACACCACTGAACGTGTGCTAGCAGGTGTACAGTGTAGACAATCGCACGTAACCACGCGTGCGACCAAGTTCCTTGTGTCGAGACTTCCCGCCGAAATTCAAATTCCTTACTGCAACGAAACCAACGCCATTATCCCACTTCTGAACCTGTACGACTTGGAACAGTACAGTATGTAGCATCTGCCTTGCATTTGCTAGGGCGGGTGGATTTGAGCGGTGGTTTTGAGTTAGGAGGTTGTGCCATGAACGGCAAAACTACTCTGGGCCGCGCTGGGCCACTGCGACCCAGGGGATTTGCACGGACCAGCACGGACCAGCACGGACCAGCGCGGACCAGCGAGGACCAGCTGTATGGACCAGCACACGGCCCTGGAGGTGACCCAGGCTGCTCCCCCCACGGACCAGCATGTACAGTGGTCGGTGCACGTGCAGGATTTGGGGGACCACTTCCAGCAGTCGACCCCAATTCGCGGCCCAGGCACTCGCGAAAACAAAATGTCGACCCATTTCGCGATTCGAGCTGTCGCGAAATGTAGTTCGCGTGTGACTGGGTGCGACCTGGTTTTCGTCCTCCTTGCTTTTGCGAAACTGTAAAACACTGTTCTCTAGGGATCGGCTGCAAATGGTGCCTGGGACCACGCGGGTAGCAGGCAGGGACCACTTTCGCAAGTGGTCCCTGAAAAAGGTGCTCCCTTGTCTAACCTGGTCCATTTCCCTGTAAATGGACCAGCGCGCAATGTACCACCTCCTTATTCGGAGCGAATTCCTAGGCACGGACACCATCCGAACTCTGGACATGTTCAACGTATTTTTTTGCTGTACGCCTGACCCAGAAAACCAAGCTACGAAAATTGCACTGCTGAAAAAGACACGCGAAATTATCTACGTTCTCAGTACACTCCACGCCACACATGTCAGTGAGTTGTTTCAGCACAACTGACCAAACGCATCTAAACTAGCTTCCTCTACGCAGGGTAGGGTTCTAGATTATCCAGCCTTTCAAATTAAGAGGTATCCCTAAAATTAGACCTTCAAACAAAAACAAAAAAGGCAACCCCTCAAGGTGTCCCTACTTCGGATGGTGTCCCTACTTCGGATGGTGTCCCTACTTCGGATGGTGTCCCTACTTCGGATGGTGTCCCAACTTCGGATGGTGTCCCTACTTCGGATGGTGTCCCTACTTCGGATGGTGTCCCTACTTCGGATGGTGTCCCTACTTCGGATGGTGTCCCTACTTCTGATGGTGTCCCTACTTCGGATGGTGTCCCTACTTCGGATGGTGTCCCTACTTCGGATGGTGTCCCTACTTCAGATGGTGTCCCTGCGTGGAAATTAGCCCTCAGTTACATCATTAACGCTACTCACGATCTCTACACAGTGTTTTGCAACCACATATAACACAACCTAACCTTATAATACTCAAGCTGAATTGGCAATATCCTCCCTTAGCCTCCGCGCCAGAGCATCTAGTCCCTTTTTCTTGTTCACCTGCTTCGAATTACGCGTGCCAAACAAACCAACCGCAGCCTCCCCGACATCCTGTCAATCACATAGAACAGCAGAAGTGTAAGCCGGCGCCTCCATTTTGAATTTACACAAACAGGATAAAAATTGTAGGAATTTAGCCGTACCAGGTTTCATTAGCAAGTGTATACGTACCCGATACTTATCGCAGACGATGAGCACTTTAGTCGGCGCCAGAGCCCCATAATTCTTCTCCCGGTGCGACTTGGTCGCATAATGCTCGGGGTTGTTGCTGAGAATGAGGTTGATGAGCTGCCGTGACTCCGCAAGGTGCGACTTAAGAGGCACAGCCTCGCCATTGTCCTTCATGACGCCGCTCTTCTCATCCTCCTGGTCGGCAAACCCCTCAATGACACGCAGGTCATTGTCCACTCCCTGGATGGCGTACAGGTTGAACCGCGGCACGGCAGAGCCACACAGCAGGCTGACGAGCACGTTGCTGATGTGGCGCATCATTCCTCCACTCACCTGCGACAGGTGTGGACAGTGGGCAATGAAAGGTACGTGGCATTCGGTAATGGAAAGGAAAAGCATGCAGCTGACTGGAAGCAAACCGAATCTGCAGCAGCAAGCAATGGCAGGCAGTTCAGGAGTGCTGTAAGTGAAAAGCAACTTACCCGCTGGAAGGCATCGAGAGGAAGCAGCTGTCTGGCCGTCTCCATCATGGTCTCCAGGTAGATGCAGAGGTCCGTAAGATACTCGTTCACTAGCTGCTCTCACATGCAACACAACAGGGGGCCCAGTCGATAAGAGAAGAAAGAAAGATAAGGGACGAGGACAACGACGAGACATTGAAGGGAAGCAGCTGCCTGGCCGTCTCCATCATGGTCTCCAGGTAGATGCAGAGGTCCGTCAGATACTCGTTCACCAGCTGCTCTCACATGCAACGACACGGCCCAACAGGAGAGAAGGGAGAAACCAGAAGAGAGAAGAAGGACAGGCGTTGGGAGGGAATAGAGGGGAAGACGAGGGGGAAAGGAGGTGATGAGAAAGGATGGTGGGAACCATGCTGGTGTAGGAATTGCATCAATCACGCGCTCCAGGTATGTGAACGAATTTGTGAAGTGGCTCTCAGCAGCTAAGATCCTTCACTCTCAATCATGCAGGGATGGAAGGGATTGGAACAAGGGAGGGATGGAGAGCAGACACAGCTCTGCCAAAAATCAGAACTGCACTCAGGCACCGTAACAGTACGGAGCCCACCCAAATGCCTCGTCTCAGGTTTGAGTGGCGCTTCCCTTCGCACCAGAAAACAGAAGAGAGTGAAATTAAGCGGGCCGAGTTCACACATACGTACCCCAGGCGGTTCCATGGGATTCCACGGGATCTGCTCTGCAGGCGCCATCATGTCATCGATCTTCTCATTCATGATGCGCAGCATGGCATCATATGCCCCCGCCTGCGACTGCCTGAGGGTGTTCCTGGCGGCCAGTGTGCCGTGTGCACCGTCCACGAGGCGGGATGGGATGCCGCACGACTTGGCTGCGTGCTCTGCGAAGAATGCACATGCCCGCTCCATCACTGTCATGTTCGCCGCTACCTGTGGCAAGGGTGGGACGAGTAGGGAAGCGGGGAGACGGGGGGTTGAAGAGGGGAGAGAGACAGCGAGAGAGGGAGGGAGGGAAATCTTTGTCGCTACCTGATGGTTGCAAAAGGGACAATGAAGGGAAAGAGGCTGAGAGACGGCATGAGAGGCTCCTGGCGGCCAGCGTGCCATGCGGGCCGTCCACGAAGCGAGAGGGAATGCCGCAGGACTTGGCTGCGTGCTATGCGAAGAATGCACATGCCCGATCACTGTCATGTTCGCTGCTACCTGATGGTGTGGCGAACATGAGGGTGGAGGGTGGAGGGTGGAGGGAGGAGGGTGGAGGGAGGAGGGTGGAGGGTGGAGTGAAGAGGGTGGAGGGTGGAGGGTGGAGGGTGGAGGGAGGAGGGTGGAGGGAGGAGGGTGGACGGTGGAGGGTGGAGGGTTGAGTGGGGGAGAAGAGGGGAGAGGGACAGCAAGAGTGGAGGGGCTTGAATGCCATGTGCGGGGAGGATGGAGAAGCTGATGCATCAGAGTCACACCGGTGTGAGTTATGAGTCGACTCGAAACACGACTCGAACACACAACAGGCCCGCTCCCACCTGCATGGCGTGAGTCTGTGAGACACTTGCAGTGTGGGTTTACCAGTCAACTGCAGAAGCACGTCGTTCACAACAGTAGTGAGCGGGCGATCCAGGTATCGGTGGGCGAGATCGTACCGGTATCGGCTCGAAACACGAGTAAGAACACAACAGGCCAGCTGGGGTTCCCATCCCAATCAGCCTCAGCAGCGCCTCGTTCACCACCGTGGTGAGCAGGCGATCGAGGTAGCGTTGCACGAGGTCGTACTGGTCCATGTAGCCCGTGTGTGCTATGAGTCACTTCACTGGTGTGTTCTGAGTCGACTCGAACATACAACATGCCAGCTCTCACCTGCATGGCGCGAGACACTTGCAGCGTGGGGATGCCAATCAAGTGCAGCAGCACCTCGTTCACCACCGTGGTGAGCAGGCGGTCAAGGTAGCGCCGCACGAGGTCGTACTGGTTCATGTGGCCCGTGTGCTATGAGTCACTGGCGAGTGTTATGAGTCGACTCATAACACACTAGGCCCACGGCCCACTCACCTGCATAGCATGAGAGACTTGCAGTGTGGGGTTCCCAATGAGCCGCAGCAGCGCTTCATTCACCACCGTGGTGAGCAGGCGATCGAGGTAGCGCCGCACGAGGTCGTACTGGTCCATGTGGCCCGTGTGCTTGAGGAAGGAGACGGAGCTGTCGATGAAGATGCGCACTATGCGGCAGATCTCGGGGACCGACGCTGAGAAGGGCGCGATCCAGGGGAACGCGGGCATGATGTCCGTGCTCTGGTGGGGAAGATCGATGACGGAGGGGGGGTGTGGGTTGGAGGGAGGGGAAGACAAAGGGGAAGCAGAGGGAGGGGAGCAGGGAGAGCCTGGTTGATGAGAGCCTGGTTGATGAGAGCCTGGTTGATGAGAGTGGTGAGGAGGCGGTCGAGGTAACACCTGATGCTGAGAAGGGCGCGATCCAGGGGAACGCGGGCATGATGTCCGTGCTCTGGAGGGGAGCATTGGGGGGAGAGGGAGGTTGGGGGAACATTGGAGGAGCCAAATGGAAGTTAAGGACACAGAAAAAAGAGGCCCAGAGAGAGCATGGATGTGTGTAGAGGCATGACATGATGTGCATGTTCTGTGAGGCCCGGGGAAGTGTGGGAAGTGGGGAACGTGTCACATGCATGTGCAGAGCAGGATTCATTCGAGCAGAAGGGAAGATTCTTGATTGTGGAAGGCGTGCACGTTCATGCTGTACTCATACTCCTTGCGCATCACCATTTGCTCCAGCTTGTCACCATGCATGTGCAGAGCAGGATTCATTCGAGCAGAAGGGAAGATTCTTGATTGTGGAAGGCGTGCACGTTCATGCTGTACTCATACTCCTTGCGCATCACCATTTGCTCCAGCTTGTCACCATGGAAAGGGCTCATGTGCTGTGAATGTACGAGCCCCCACGTTCAAAAACGCACACACAGACACACAGAGCCACAAACACACATACCTGGATGTGGAAGGCGAGCACGTTCATGCTGTACTCATACTCCTTGCACATCACCATCTGCTCCAGCTTGTCACTCACTCGTGCATGTGCAGCACAGCTCACACATGCGCATCCAGCACACTCTCACAGACACATGCAGACACACGCAGGAACATGAACCCACCTGGATATGGAAGGCGAGGACGTTCATGCTGTACTCATACTCCTTGCGCATCACCATCTGCTCCAGCTTGTCGTTGGCAATCGAGTCGTTCACCTGCCGCCGCGCCTCCTCCAGCAGCAGCTCGTGGTACTTGTCTCTCATGGACGCCAGCACGTCCAGTAGTGGAGACACCTGTAACGAGTACAGATGAAAAGGGGAGAATTCAAGGCAAACAAACAGCACAGGGAGATAGATTCTGTTGGGAGGGGCACCTGGGAGGAAAAGGGTGAAAACAGGACTATTCCAAGTGCAAGTTGAGGTGGGTGAGTGGAAGCCGCCTTTTCCCAGGGCTTTTACCGACTGACCTGAAAGCCGTATCGGTGCAGCACAGCAGTGAAGAGCGTGACGTCCTCTTTGACCATGAGCATGTGGTCAGCTGATGACATGGTTACTGCCCGCTGACTGACCTGGAAGCCTGCTATAGGCAGGGCCTTTACTGACTCACCTGGAAACCAAATCGTCGGAGTGCGGCGGCGAAGAGGGATACGTCCTCCTTGACCATGAGCATGCGGTCGGCTGATGACATGGACACCAACTGCCCTCTGACTGACCTGGAAGCCTGTTCTTCCTAGGGTCATTACTGACTCACCTGGAAGCCGTAGCGCCGGAGCGCGGCGGCGAAGAGGGATACGTCTTCCTTGACCATGAGCATGTGGTCGGCAGAGGACATGGACGCGAACTGCTCCTCCATCACACTGCGCATGCGCGCTATGGCCGTCTCCCACAGCACGTCCACCTGCAGGAGTAATAGGTGGTGACGGGTGGTGACAGGTGGAAAGTGGAAACAACAAGATATCAGACATCTCAAAACTTTTCCATCACACCGTGCGCCCCTAGGTCCGCGCGCACCTGGGTCCGCGCGTGCGCCGTGGTCCGCATGCGCCCCGTGGTCCGGGCGCGCGCCTTGGTCCAGGCGCACGCCTTGGTCCAGGCACCGCCTTGGTCCGGGCGCGCGCCTTGGTCCGAGCGCACGCCTTGGTCCGCGGGCGCGCCTTGGTCCGCGGGCGCGCCTTGGTCCGGGCGCGCGCCTTGGTCCGGGCGCGCGCCTTGGTCCGCGCGCGCGCCTTGGTTCGCGCGCGCGCCTTGGTCCGCGCGCGCGCCTTGGTCCGTGCGCGCGCCTTGGTCCGGGCGCGCGCCTTGGTCCGGGGGCGCGCCTTGGTCCGGGGGCGCGCCTTGGTCCGGGCGCGCGCCTTGGTCCGGGGCGCGCGCCTTGGTCCGGGCGAGTGCCTTGGTCCGCGCGCGCGCCTTGGTTTGCACGCACGCCTTGGTCCGCGCACGCCTTGGTCCGGGCGCGCGCCTTGGTCCGGGTGCGCGCCTCGCGCGACTTGGTCCACGCGCGCGACTTGGACGTGTCGAATTAAGCCCTCTGCCAACTCTCCCCTTTTCCACTCTTCTTTCACAACTCTTTTGACGCTCGTGTCCTCGTCTCCATAGCGTGCATGATCCGGTCCTCCACAATAAAGAATCCACCCCCCCTTTCCCCTACAGCGCTCCCATTGAATTATCTTCACCCCCCTTCCTCCCCAGTGCTGCCCACCTGAGCGGGCTTGATGACCCCACCAGCAGTGCGCATGATGCGGTCCTCCACTATGAAGAACCCCGCCACCTGCGAGCAGTAGTCGTTGAACGACTGGGCCACAGGCAGCAGATGGGATGGGGCATGGGATGGGAGTTGGAGTGGGAGCGGTATTGTGAGGAGGGAGGTGCAGGGAGCAAGGGCGAACACAACCACCCACGCGCTGCCTGTGCCCTGGCGTGAACTGCAAATATGTGTTGAGCTGCAGCTTGCGGTTGTCATAGTTGTAGTCGCGGAACTGGTCCTGGATGCCCAGACACTCCAGCCACCCATCCACCCAGCCGCACACACATAAACACAAACGCACAGACGAACACCCACTCATGCACCCACCTGCCCTGGCGTGAACTGCAGATCAGTATTGAGCTGCAGCTTGCGGTTGTCATAGTAGTAGTCGCGGAACTGGTCCTGGATGCCCAGACACGTGTTGATGTAGTGCGCGCGGTAGATGGGCGTCAGGTTGAACTTGAGCATCGACGCATCCTCCTCCGCGTCCTCCACTTCTAACATGTACGCCACTGCCCTCGCCCCTGACCGCGTCTGGTGGTGGTGTGGCGGAGAGAAGAGGAAATTGGGAGGGAAGGGAAACAGAGTGGAGCATCAATACTACACGAGCTTTGGTGCTGCAGGGTGCAGGAAGATCTAGTGAGCCTCATGAGCAGGTGAAGGTTCACCTCGTATCGTGCACCAATACAGCATGTAGTAGAGTGGGACCAGCAGTACTGTAACTCATAATCACAGAGATCGAGTGGAGCAACAATACTCTATCAACAACCTTAAAAGACCTGCGAGGCACCCACCTGTTCCTCAGCCTGCCTCTGCCTGTCCCCAAGCTCCACTTCCCTCTGCCTCGCGCTGAACGCCTGCCCTATCGCCTGTCGACCGATCTCCTGACTCGTTTCCCGGATCTGCACCATCCACTCGTTGAACTCCTGGTTCACCTGCGGAGGGCACGGGGGTGGAGAGGGAGGGGCGAGAGGAGGGGAGGTCGGGCGGAAAGAAAGGGGAGAGAAGGTGTTCGTAAGGAGGGGACATAGCAAGGCAGAGACAGGGACTGGAGGGGTAAATCGTGGGTTAGGTGGGAGAATGGGGGAGAATGGGGAGGGGGAGGGGATGGGGTCTGTGGGAAGACAGAAACATCACGTTGCAACCCACAAAGATTCCCTCTTCATCCAAACACACCCTCCCAACCCAAGGCCATCCACCCACCCAGCCCTGCAATCCCTTCGAATCTCACCCCTCCCTCCCTACCTTGCGCTCGATATGCGCTCTGCACCGCGGAATACCCCTCTCTACCCATGCGCGCAGAGCAGAGGAGGGGATGGTGCGCAGGTGGTCGCGCTCAATAGCGTCTAGGGTCTTCAGCGCCTGGTAGTAGCTGTCCGCTGCTATTGCCTCGTTCACCTGAGATAGTGAATAAGGGGAGGAGAGGAGGTGGAAACAGGGCATAGTAGACTGTATCATGTTACTCTGGCAGCTGGCTTCCCTAATGACGGAAACGCCTTGTAGTAGCTGTTTGTGGCTATTGCCTTGTTCACCTGAGAGAGTTTGCATAGATTACCACGTTGATCTACCTTGGCGCAGAGGTCGACAACGGTCTTGCACTTTTTGAGCAGCTGCAGCGCGGAGGCGAGGTTGGTCTTGATGGCGTTGTGCTGAATGAGCTCGTCCAGCTTGTGCAGCAGCCCGCTGCCCACCTCCTGCATCTCCGTGTTCTGCATCGCCAGCCCATGCTTCAGCTCGTCCGCGTCCACCAGCACGTATCTGTGGTCGGAGGGAGGAGGGGGTGGAGGGGGGGAGGAGAGGGTGGAAGGAGAGAGAGGGGGTAGAAGGAGAGAGGGGAGGGGTGGAGTGGAAGGAGAGGGGGGAGGGTGGAACAGGATCAGAAGAGAGACGAGCAGCCCGCTCCCCACCTCCTGCATCTCCGTGTTCTGCATCGCCAGCCCATGCTTCAACTCGTCCGCGTCCACCAGCACGTATCTGTGGTCGGAGGGAGGAGGGGGTGGACGGAGAGAGGAGGGGTTGGACGGGGAGAGGATGGCGAATCAGAAGAGAGACGAATCGCTGTTTAATTAGATCGTCCAGCAGCCTGCTTCCCCCTCCACCACTTTCTACTTCTTCCTCAGAGTCCCAGAGTCTACCAATTTGGATTTACACCTAGAAAAAAGCGTTTGAAACTAAACATAATAATGCCAGGCTATGTTATGAGCGCGATACACATAGAAATTCAAGGGTCAAATTGCATTTGAGCTCGTCAACGGCGTGGATCGCACCTGAGCTCGTCGACGGCATGGATGAACTCCTCGTAGTGCTGCTTGCAAAGCTCCTCGATCTCCACCTCCTTCTTCTTCACGAATGTGCGAAGCTGCCAGGAAGCGAAGTGAAAAGGGTTTGATTCAGGTTGAGCATAGGCTGTGTTTCACCTGATGTGCATATCTCATGACCCAATGCCTGACACATTGCTCCTTAAGGCGTCAAAAAGGTCTCTCGGGCTTGTATTGAAGGTTCTGATCTTAAAGAGTGTCAATGCCACTATAAGACCGTCAAGGTCTTGCTTGTCTTTTAATGCATCAAGGCGTTGTCTTTAAGGCTTACATTGATGTCGAGCAACTGATGACGAGGGACACTAAAAGGAATGCGTTTTTCAAGAGGCATGAGCAAGGCGAGGTAAGAATGGCGTTGAACATTCAGACGACCTGAAAGAAAAATCAGGTATCAACCAACAATAACTATACCAAAAAGTGTTGAAAACCTAACTAAGGGCACGCCGCTAACCTGGTGAAGAAGCGCTTCAGGTTTTCCCATTTCAAATGCCGGGCGAATAATAGGTCCGACATCTTCGCCATTAGCGATGACTGACGAAAGCGTCGCTTCGTCGACCACCCACTGATGCTGCTCCTTCTCTTCCAACGTCACCCGTTTCCGACTAGCTAGCCGCGCTAACTGCGCTGCCATGGCGTGCGTCAGAAACACAAGGCTTCACGATTCGATAAGCCGGCCTAACTACGGATCATCTAGATTGTGTCGCCTCTTCGAGCGGTAGTTTTTATGCTACCTAGATGCTATCCCACCAGAGTGGCATACCTGCGTTAGAGGTCGGACCCCCATTCTTGAGATGTGTAAGGAAAATCCCTTTTCCTTACTTCTCATCCCTGCTCAACGCGTACATCACTGTAGCACCTCAGTCAGCACCGTTACCACTCGAGATCATCGCATCGACAATCATCCCGCCTTTTTCGCACATCGCATCCCGACCTCACGGCTCGGCTGGTAACCCGCGCTCCGGGCCTACGCTTCGACACTTTCCCAACCTCAGTCACAGGCTCGTCGCGCGACAACCACAGAGCATTACCGTTACCACTGTAGTTTCGCTATATATTCTTCGCTCATGCCTTCGCTCATTGTATTCCTGCTTCGATAGTGCAATTTGTTGGAAACAATAAGTCCTAAGTGCGCTTCTGTCGTATCAAAACCCAAGGCACCAAGCGAAGCAGTCCCAATCGAAGCATCGAGTCAACCTCGGAGGTTAGGGTAACCGCCTGGAGGTTACGAGAAAGTCAAAGGTCGCTGACCTTTGACTCGACAATCACAGCGCGACAGTTAAGGACACACAACTGACTCGTTACAGAGCAGTTGCCCGAGTCGCACTGTATCGAACCGCAACAGCAATACAGTTATCTACCTATCTATTCGTATTCCCTGTACTCTTATATAAATCCTTGTATTTGCTTGTTTAATTCAATCTACTTTGCTCTCACACACCAGTGCAAGGTCGGTTCACAATCCTCATCAAACGCTTCCGCTATTACAAGTTTTCTACCCAAGAGTTCTCCTCTGCAAAGATCCTAAGGGCTATTTTCTCAGCCCAACATGGTATCAGAGCAGACAGGGGAAAACTCTAACTTTTTTTATCATTACAAGACATGGCAACAAACAAGGAAAGGAGCTCCCCTAATGGCTCCTCGGGGACTACTCCTACTCCACCACCAGCCTCTGGCCTGCAGACAGAGGAAGGCACGGCAGCAAGACCAAGGGGAACGTCAACCGAGACCCCCACGAACCATCCTTCTGACTTCGACCAGAACATGATGGAGAAATTTTTCTCCTTCATGTCCTTCTACGAGCAACACCAGCAGTCGGGACCTGCACAGACACACAACAGCAACAACGGAGCGACACCCATGAGCCTTGACGGGTCGTCATATGCGCGAGGGAATCAACAGCAGCAACCCACCTTCGCCCCGTACGAACGCGGGTCGATCAGCTTCCTGCCTCAACCTCCACCTGCGCAAGACAAACCAATGGATGCCTTACAAGTACAGTCGCAGTTCGCGCATGTTCTGAAACTACAGACGTCAAGACCTTTCGACGGAAAGGACTTCTTTACCTGGTCCTTTGAATTCGAGTTGATGATGGAGGGCGCGCAGATACTTGGCTTCTTCGACGGATCCCTGCAGTATCCAGCAAACGGGACACAGTATGAAAAGCAGCAGTATACGTATCAATCCATGATGGCGTATACTATTCTACTGAGAAACATCACACCAACCCAGCAGCAGAACATTCGCTCCTACCGGAACTTCGGCAACTCGGCGGAACTCGCGTACGGCCATCTGAAGAACCTGTACCAGGCAACAGACAGTGTAAACCAGAGCAGGTTAATGGCGCAGCTGACAACAGTGGAAATGAAACCAGGAGAAAAAGGGTTGGCGTATATCAGCCGATGTCGCGAATTGCGCGACAAGCTTCTTCGATGTGGAGGGTCAATCTCTGAAGACGCCTTCGTAACAGTCGTCATAGGCGGCCTCGGTCCTCAGTGGCGCGCCACCAAAGCAATTCTTCGAGCACACGGGAGGATCTCCGAAGCGGCACTTTGCGCAGAAATTCACGCGGAACAGCAGGATATGGACCTGCAAGAAGAAAGACACAAGAAAAGGACATTAGCACCGGAGTTTGCTTTCCATACTCAGCGACGACACAACTACTACAACAATCGACAGCAGCAGCCGAAGTCAGTACCTCCATTTTGTCACATCTGCAAGACATCAGGACACCCACGCTCGCACTGCCCGTCTCGACAGACAACACCACAGCGACAACTGCGGCCTTCAAGCACACAAGTTGCTTCGACACAAGCAAGTTCGACAACCACGATTCAAGCTTCAACGACCTCAACTGGACAACCTGCACAAGGAGCAAGAAATATAATCAACTGCATGACGAAGATAACCGATTCATGTACAACCGAATCACCACCACACTACTCACCGGAAGAAGAGCTTGACAACAGAACACCTCGCCGTGAGCTACTCCAGCCGAATCCAACGTACGCCGCCATCGCTCAAAGTGAACCGTCCGGCCAAGACACCTGGTTCTTGGACAGTTGCTGCGGGCAACACATGTGCTCGTCCGGGCGTTTCGTACAACGCGAACATCGACTCCAACGGGAAGTGATCATCACGGTTGCCAACAACCAAAACCTGCGCACACGAAGACAAGGAGTGGTACAGCTTCAGTCAAGAGAAACAAATGTCATACTGCACATGTCTAAGGTACTCATCGCTGAAGGACTCGGCTACAACTTACTGAGCGTTAGCCAGTTGATGGCGAAAGGAATTCATCTGGAAGCCGACAGCACGACCCAGGAGTTCAAGCTTTACCACGGAAGAGGCGGTCTCTACATCGGGAAAGCAGTGCTGAAGAACAACGTCTTCGTCCTCGACTTCGCTCCCGACCTCGGCACTGCAGACAGCGACGCCATTGTGAACTTTGCTGAATGGACACACCCTCCGGATCTCGATCCCGACTTCAGCCCGGGAGGTTTCTGGTACTCCCACACTATCCCTGAAGCAGAACGAACAAGAGCGTTAGCAACAATTCAACAAGAAGCAGAGACAACAACATCGGCAGCAGCAACAACATCGACAGCAGCAACAATATCGACAGCAGCAACAACATCGGCAGCAGCAACAACATCAGCAGCAGCAGGAACAACGACACCAGTCACAGTCGACGAAGCACCACCAACACTCGCGCAACAGCTGAATCCGACTCAGCGTGAAGTCCACCGAAGCGCCAACCTCGTCGCCAGCTTTTACTCCAACTCCGACGCATATCAGCGTTCACCCGGACACCGCGCCTCTGAAGAGATCTGGCACGCACGCACAGGACATCCAAGCAACACAGTTTTGAATAACACGATAAGAGCAGGAGTCCTCGACAAAGACTCTCTACTTCTACCCGATGGCAGAGAACTCCAGAAGGCACGAGGGACTTGCCTTATATGTCCCGAAGCTGACTTACCTCATCGACCGTTTGCTTCACATCACAACCCGAGCGCTCCAGCGTACGCACCACTCGAAAAAGTCTACAGCGACATCCTCTACAATCGCGAACCAGGACAAGTCAACTACAACTACACCATCACCTTCATCGACGCTGCTACTCGATACGTCTGGCATCGCAACCTACCCAGCCGCGACATGGCGCTCGCAGCATTCGCCGCCTGGCTACCGATAGCAGAGAGAGAGTCTGGAACACAACTGAAAAATTTCCAGTCAGACGGAGGTGGCGAGTACACCTCTCAGCGCTTCAAGCAGTTCTTGGCGGAAAGGGGGATCAAGCAACTCCTCTCCCTTCCCTACGCACATCAGCAGCAAGGTGTTGCAGAACGACTGAACAGGACCCTGCAGAACAGCATGCGCAAACTGTTACGTGGCATGCGGCTACCCAACCACCAGTGGCCAGCAGCAATGGACCACGCTGTCATGCTGCACAACTTGTTGTCGTCGTCGTCACTCCCGAACAACGCATCACCGCATCTGCTGTGGACAGGGAAGCAGGGCAGCACGAAAATGTTACGAGTTTTCGGGTGCATGGTACAGTACAGACCCCCAGAAGCACGAGCGGGAAGATTTTCGCAACGGGCACAGTGGGGACTACACCTCGGCATCGAGAAAAATTACAACGCATGGAAAATCTTCGACGTCCACACAAAGGAAACAGTAGCAGCACGCGACGTGATCTTCTACGAAAGACTCACCCTTCAGACATACCTCGCCAACTTGCACGAGAATCGGGACCTCACCAGTGGTTTTCGTGGTGACCGAGCCTTCGCGTCAGCAGCGGACGAAGCAGACTGGGATGAACAGAACGTCGACAACGCCTCAGAAGAAGCCGGACCTCTCCCATACTGCTCCGTCGACGTGCCCATGGATGAGGATAATCCTCGCGACAGCAACAACGCCGAAATCTTCTACCGTTTCGCCGACGATGGTTACATAACACCTGTGACAGTCAACACCAACGAAGCAGAAAGGGTAGGGCCAAATTTCATGCCCGACCCAGAAACGGGAGACGAAGCAGCTTATCCCGAGGATCCAGAACTCCCTCGATACTCACAGACTGGGCTGCAAATCCTTGGTCTCGTCACCGCAGTCCATGGCGCCGGCATTCCTGAGGAGCCTGCGACGGTTCAGCAGGCTCTGGGGGGGGAACACAGGGAGAAATGGCGTGAAGCTATGGACAAAGAGCTGAAGGCACTGGAGGAGCGCAACACCTGGAAAATTGTTCCCATCGGCGTAACTCAAAATAAAAACATTCTTACCGGAAAATGGGTCTTCCGTGTGAAGACGAAAGCTGATGGCACCATCGACAAATTCAAAGCCCGCTGGGTCGTACGTGGCTTCGACCAGGAGCACGGAAGAGATTACACCGAAACCTTCGCTCCGGTCAGTCGCCACACCTCACTCCGAATCCTCATCGCCGTCGCCGCCATGAAGAAAAAGAAATTGCGACAGATCGACGTTGCGAACGCATTTCTCTACGCACCTGTGGATGCAGAAATCTTCGTTGAACTCCCGCACGGCTCCCACGGCGAACCCAACCGAGTGTGTCAACTACTCAAATCACTCTATGGGATCAAGCAGGCACCGCGACTGTGGCAGCAGTACCTACACGCCCGCCTCATTCGCATCGGCTTCAAACAACTCCCGCATGACCAAGGCATGTATCGCCTCACAAAAGGAGGCGATTACGTCCTATTAATCGTCTATGTGGACGATCTTCTCTACATTGGGTCAACCGACAACATCGCCGCGTGGTTCGAAGGGGAGCTCCAGAAAGACCTCACGCTCACGGTCTCTTCTACGGTTACGCAATACCTCGGGCTCAACATCCGTGAGGAAGAAAACGCAATCTACCTAAGCGCCGAGAAGTACGCCGACACTATCGCGAAACGCTTTCGTCTCACACCAAGCGCCATCTCCACGCCTTATCGCTACGCGTCAGGAACCGAAAAGGGGCAATCTACTCTACTTAAACCCGCCGGCATACGCGACTATCAGAAGAAGCTAGGATGCCTTCTTTTCGCAGCAGTCACGTGCCGTCCCGACCTATCCTACTCCGCGAGTCAGCTCGCTACCTATCTCAAGAGACCTGAAGCAGAGCATCTGGCGGAACTCGATCGTGCTCTCCACTACTTCGTCAGCACCGCGACGATCGGACTAACTTATCACAAAAACGTGACTACACCGACCAAACTAATCGGCTACGTCGACGCCGATCACGCCGGCGACACCGACAACAGGCGCTCACGCACCGGCTATGTCTACCGCCTTGAGCCTATCGGTCCTATCTCCTGGCAGTCAAGCAAGCAGGAGTTAATCGCACTATCTTCAGCAGAAGCAGAATATATCGCACTCTGCTCAGCCACCAAGGAGGGACTTTACCTTCGCGAACTACTGGAAGAAGCGAAACTAGCCGAGTTACCCAGCTTCACCGTGTTCTGCGACAACCAATCGGCAATTCGCATCGCCAACAAAAACGGCTTCGCAAACAGGACGAAACACATCGCCCTGCGCTATTTCTTCGTGAAGGACGAGATAGAAAAAGGGAAACTCGATCTGTCATACTGCCCAACATCCGAGATGGCAGCCGATTACTTGACCAAGAAACTCGGAAAGCAGAAGTTCGAATACTGCATGATGCTGACTGGACAAGGCCACGTCACCAGCAGCGACACTCCAGAAGCGAAGGGGAGTGTTGGAAACAATAAGTCCTAAGTGCGCTTCTGTCGTATCAAAACCCAAGGCACCAAGCGAAGCAGTCCCAATCGAAGCATCGAGTCAACCTCGGAGGTTAGGGTAACCGCCTGGAGGTTACGAGAAAGTCAAAGGTCGCTGACCTTTGACTCGACAATCACAGCGCGACAGTTAAGGACACACAACTGACTCGTTACAGAGCAGTTGCCCGAGTCGCACTGTATCGAACCGCAACAGCAATACAGTTATCTACCTATCTATTCGTATTCCCTGTACTCTTATATAAATCCTTGTATTTGCTTGTTTAATTCAATCTACTTTGCTCTCACACACCAGTGCAAGGTCGGTTCACAATCCTCATCAAACGCTTCCGCTATTACAAGTTTTCTACCCAAGAGTTCTCCTCTGCAAAGATCCTAAGGGCTATTTTCTCAGCCCAACACAATTCTCGTTCGTTCACTCAATTGCACTCGTAACAAGATGTGAGGCGTGCACGGCAAGGCAATGCTCGACCGTCCTGCAAGAATTCGATCGTCCTCGTAACAAGATGTGAGGCGTGTCACTGAAGTGAAGCTGAACTTTGATAATACAGTGAGGTTGGCATTGTAGATAGAATGCAAAAATTTCACATACTAGCCATGAAAAGAATGTACAAATTAATCAATATACTTATATGAGCAGGAAAACTGTTGGCAAAATATTATAGAATACATAATAGCAACTTAATTACTAATATATGGACTTTAGCTAGCTACTAGTACACTACATGGCTCCTGCAAGAAGCGCCTACCATTTATTATTTCTCTTACGTGCTACCTAAGGGAACACCTTTTCTCACTTGGTTACGAGGTACTCCATATACATTTACCTGCAAGCTAGATTGTTCCCTTGCCGTGTGTCGCGGTTAGAAAGCTTCGCTCGTGAGCCAGAGCAGGAGCTGTTATGCGCCGAGCATTGCGTATGACAGAAGCCGCAGTGCGCGGACTTGGCATTGTTGGTATCGTCAGCGACGGCATTGATGGCATCCGTTGTGACTGCTTCTCATCCGCATCCCCTTGTTCGCCCACACCAGCGTTGATGTCATCCTTATCCCTGGCACTCACACATTTTTGTCCTCTGCACCCCTCCTCATCTGCTGCTTCTCGCATCTCTGCCCCCTTCCCTGCCCCCACATGTTCACATCCATCCTCACTATTGCAACAACCACAAGCTCCCCCCACCTCACTCCTGTTATCAATTCCACCCACACTCCCACTCCTCCAATTCACATGACTGCGATTCAATCTGGGCCAGATGTCATCAGGCAGGCGATTGAACACCCGCTGAGGCGATGCAACATAGCCTGACACCTGACACTGGAAGCTTCCAGTCGAGTATGTTCGAGTTACAGCCCGCCTTGCTGCTACCAGGGCTGACGGCGACGATGGTGCAGTCAACGGGGCTCTTGCGGTGGCGTTTGCTGCTAAGCCTCCTGATGCTGTTCCTGTCCCTCTTGCTGTTGCTGTTGATGTTCCTCCAGCTGTGGCTGCTGCTGTTGCTGCAAGCTCGCTTGCAATCCCACAATGAGCAGCAGTGCGTTGCAGTGCCGCTGCCAGCAGTGCTGTCGGCGGCTGTGGTGACGGGTTGACGTGAGGAACGTACACCAGCACGGCCTCCCCACCATCGCTGCAACCTCCCTCTCCTCCCACTCCATCCCCGCTATAGCCGCACTCGTCTACAGCCCGCACGGCGCCCACGCCTTCGCACACCTCCCACGGCTCCAGAGCAGCTCTTGCCAGGTGCGTCCACCCCGGCCCGCCCAACTCCTCCGCTTCCGCCCCGCGGCTTACCACCTCCACCTGTCCTTCGTCGGCCCCTTCCGCCTGCTCATCCCCGCCCCAGTCCCGGCGCACATGGAAGCTGAGAGAAGTCTCCGTGTCATCATTACCGCCCCCTGTACCCGACTCAACCGCTCCGTCCCCCTCCCCACTTGGCTCCCAATCCCGCGTCCCACGCTCCCCATTCCTCGCCCCTTCATTCACGCACATCATCGTGGGGACAAATGCCGCGCATACCGCGCCCCCCCCGCCCTTCCGCAACGTCCCGTTGCAACCTGCGCTGCTCTCCGCCGGCTTCCGCGAAGCCTGCACCAGCCGCGCCTTCGGATCGCCAGGGCTGGTGCTGGTCGCGCCTCCGCCAGAAGCCCAATCGCCGAATGTCAACCGCGAATTGGCGCTACTCTCGCTCGCAAGAGCCTCCCCGCCGGCTCTAATGCTGGTGATAGTAGCCTCTCCGCCGCCCCTCACGGCGGCTGCGCTTTTCTCCTGTCTCTTCCTCGACTCGAACTCCTTCTGCTCCCGCGCCTGCCGGTTTTCTCTCCGCACGAAGCTAACGATGCGAGACCATCCCCGTTTTAGAGCTCCCCGTTCGCCGTGCAGTGGGCCCCAGCGCAACACATCCAGAATAGCTTTTCGAGGACTGCTAGGTCTCTTAGAAACAGCGCTACACTCAGCCGCTGCACTCGCTGCACTACCACTTGTGCAATTCGCAGCGTCCCGTGTCGGATTGTCGTGGGTTGCCCGGGCCGTGGAATCTTCTATGCGATGCGTTGGGCCGTTGGGGCTCTTTAGCGCCGCAATTAAAACATGCGGCGTCGGGACGGCAGCGACTTCGGGAGACTCGTCAGCCGCGACTGAACATGGCGCGCCCACCGCGGCCGCAGCACCAATGCTACTACTATCCTCACCACCTGGGTGCGACTCGCTGTTATTACTAGTGGTAGCGTCGTTCGCGAGACCCGCGCAAGCGTGCAGGGCGCAGTTACTACGGCGGACGGTGTGAAGACACGTGCTGGCGATGTCGCAGGGCGTGCTGGTGTCGCAAGGCGCGACGCCCTCGCACGTGCTGCTGCTCGCTGCGACAGCCTCCCGCTTATCGCAAAGCACGCCGCGCGACCTCGGCGACGCCAAGGCGCTGGTAGTGGCCGTTCTTCTGTCGTTGCTGGCAGCTACGGTACTAGTCATCGCCGGTGGATGCGCTCTGGTTCGGAAAAACCGCACCGCAGATTTGGCAAGGGACTCCTCGCCTCCACGCCAGTCGTTGCATGACACGTGGCGTCGTCGACTGGCAGTCCAGGATTGGGAGGTTCCGTAATACTTGTATCACAAATTCTTGTTGAGGAATTAGCGAAGTTCACGCGTGAGGTACGCGTGAGTACAAGAGCTAAGCCCTACAGAGATAATGGCGGTTTGCGGCACGAAGGTGATGGTCGTCAAAGCATGACTAAACGCAACATTACTACTTCTGCGAGACTTCGAGGGACAGATAAAACAGAAGGATGAATCAATCGCATTAGTTATTCCGTCAACGACGTATGCGTAGAAAATTAATGTTTTGACCTGGCTCAGAAGCTGCCAGGTTTCTTTAACTCAGATCCTCACAGCCAACCAACACCCCGTAAGGCTTCTTCTCGTCCAAGATTACTGTAGGTTGGCACATCTGTGGATTTGGGACCTCACAGTTTACGCGCGTGACACAGGGTGCTCATCAAACCCCCACGCGTTTTTTTGTGTAAGGTTGGGGTTTGAGTTTGGTTGGCTTGGGTGATCAGCAGGCAGGGTGCTATACTCAGGGTGGTGTCTCTCTGCAAATGCTTCAGCACTAGGCACTAGCAGCAGAGGAACAATTTCGAGCACAGGCTGGCTTGGCTGGCTAGAGTACACCTGATGCTCGTTACAGCCCCTCCCGGTTGCCTTGTGAAGGGGGACTGTAAGCAAAAACCGCATTTCGTCGTTTCGTAGAGGGTTTCGTCAGGCTTTGCGCGTGCATGTATCGCGCATATGGTAACCACACATTTTGTCTCTAATATAACAGTGTCGGATGGCACTAGTTGTCACAAGCGTGTGTTACAAAAATCCTTACGATAACAACACACACCCTGGAAACAATGACAACCTTTGTTCAACTTAGATTGAAACAACAGACAGGCAATGACGCACCAACCATAATCCGCCACATCAGCATTAACCCCCATCAAGAAACCATCCCCTGTACTGCAAATGTGCCCGTTATGTGCACAATTTCATCAAACTACACCTGCAACAAAACTCCCCGACACCCATCTTCGACTCCTGATCAAGTGTTGTGAAATTCCAGCTCACACCTGCATCCACTCGGCCGCCTCCACGTACCCGCCCATCGCGGCGCCAACCCCGGCGTCAAGAAGCTGCTGACGGCGGGACGGCTGGGTCATCCAGCCAGGCAGCACACGGCCCCGCGGATGCTGGGCCTCCTCCGGCGGGGTTGGGCTCGTCGAAAGCCTGGGCGGCGGGGCCATGCTGAGAGCCAGCGCGGGGCTTGCACGCTCCATGCGCTCAATGATGACCGGATTCCGGATGTCGAACAGGTGGCACAGGTCGCGCGGGGTCACGTTCACAGCGCGCGCGTAGCCGATGAGCATCTCGCTGGCCGCCCGTGCCGTGCGCCGCGCCTCACGGCCGATGGGGTCGTTGTCGTCATACACGGCCTGCATCGTGGTCGGCGCCCTCCATAGCTCCGCCACCAGGCCCACGTCCGCATCTTCCGGAGACGTTCCCGCCGCCGCCTCCGCGCACGTCGGCTCGCCCTCGTCGATGGCGACGTACTCGGCGGCGGTCATTGCGCCGGCGCCGAGCCCAAGCCCGCATATGAGCTCCCCGACATTGTCGATGTCGTCGTCGAGCTCAATGTCCGGGTAAGCATGGGGGGTGGGATCGTCATCATGCACATGCGTGAGTTCCAGCGACCACGATAGAGGCAAGCAGCCCGTGCGCCAGAAGCACCTCTGGATGGTGCGCGCTCCGACGCTCATCCAGGCGTCGGAGAGCCAACCGAGCACGTCGCGAAGATTGGGGCGCCAGCGGGCGACGGCACTGGTTGCGCCGTCGTCATTCCACAGTGCAGTGAAGGCCTGCAGCCAGTGCTGTCGATAGCGGGCCTTCGCTGTCGCGATCATGCCCTGGTCGAGGGGCTGCGTGTAGGAGGTTGTGTTAGGCGGCAGGAAGACGAGGCGCACATTGCTGAGGCAAGTGGTCCGCATGCCGCAGACGATTTCGCTCCAAGCGCACTCGTCCCGCAGCATGTGGGAGCTTGCATTGTCGAGCAGCACCGCGATGTGCCTCCTCTCGGCATACATCGCGGCATTGAGCTGCGATATGAAATGCGTGAACAACTGTTGGATGGGAGTGGAGGGAGGGTGGACGGGGACGGTGAGGGGGGGGTGTGGGGGGAAGGGGGGTAAATGCGCGCAATAACGCAGGCGCCTGTGACTTACCGAGCTGGTCATCCAGCCTTTCGCGTTGTGCCGCCAGTAGCACAGAGCTTCCGGGTCGTAGTCCGGCCTGAAGTCGTGCGGACGGCGCGCCTTGCTGATGACCAACGGCCGGAAGACGTGGCTCCCGTCAGCGTTGACGAGAAAAGCCACCGTCAGGCGGTCCTTCGAGACCTTGCGCCCGGGAATGCGCGCGTTGCTGTACGTCTTACGCGGCAGCACAGAGAGCCACAACGCAGTCTCGTCAAAGTTGAAAGTGTCGCGCGGTTGGTAACCGAGGTGAGTCAGAAGCTGCGGCACTTTCTCACGCGCCTCACGCACAGCCGCCATGTCGGCGCTCGCCGCCTCGCCGATGGCTGCACGGCACCGCACTCCTTGGCGCCTCAACGCACGGCGGACCCAGCCAATGGAGCAACGGAACGCGGGCGGAATGCCCATGCGTCGCGCCATCGTCGCCACGTGGTCGCGTATCGTCTGCAGAGTGAGTGGCACGCCCGCGGGGCCCGCGTTTGCGATCCAGCGAGCCATGGCCTGCTCAAGCTCAGGCCATGCGCCGCCCCGGCGCCGCACCTGATTGGGGGCGTTGGGTTCCTCCAGAGCCCAGCGGCCCGCATTCTTCAGGATGCGGCCGACCGTGGAGCGGTCAGGTCGCAGGCCATACTGGGCGTAAACCCAGCGTGCAAGATCGACGTGGCGCAGGAGGGGATAATCGACGTGATGCGCGCATAATGCGCGCTTGATGAATAGCGGAAGCTGCTCGCGGCGATGGTGGCGAGGCATTGTGGGAGGCTAAGGCGGGAGATACTGATGCTCTTGTGAATTTGCTCATCAGTTTATAACTTGTGTTTAGGACCGCGGATAACCTGCTCTGGGGCCCGTTCAGGGTGACGGGGGTTGAATTGTGTTGTGATGATTCGTTACATGCACCCTGCTTACAATTTCATACATGTGGTTGGGTTACCACCAGAGTTATACTCTGACGTGGGTTAGGCGAACAACGCCTGGATGTTAGTGGCCTTGTACCCCACAATTGAGGTTTACACGTGGCAGCGTGCACCAGGCCAGATGTCTGTTACACGCACCTTGAAACTTGCCTAGGTGGCGGGGTAGGTGGGCGAATGCAATTACGAAACCATTTTCATTTCGTCCATTCGTTTCGTCAGGTTGGCGCCTGGCCTAGAAACAAGGGGAAACATGGGTCGGCACTGCTTGTTGTGGTCTGCACGTGGGGGGGAGGCCGAGCCGCGTTCACTGTAGAAGGCCATCCAGGTGCCTGTACATGGGGTGCAGCAAGCAGGGGTTTCGAGTTCAGGGGCAGCGTGTCCATCCGGTGCATGGCAAATTCGCGTGCACTGGTCGGGCATCATGTGTATTCCAGAGGGGTAACACTCGTACAGTAACGTGGGGGTGGGGTGTGTGTGTGGGCCAGCTAGCTCCAGACCAGACAGATGCTCAAGATGGGATCATGGGAGGAAAAGGGAATTTGCACTTGGCTGGGGGGACGAGGGAAATTCAAGTTTCGAAGCGCGATTTGTCGGATGAGTTTGTGTTTGAGAGTGGGTGGCGGGGATTGTCACCACAGAGTCGCAGAGCACCTTGGTCACGAGGGAAATAAGGACAGCTGACAAGGGAGACTTTCCATCTTGTGCTGAATGGGCGCGATGATACGATACTGTACTCATTTCGATGGAAGAAAATGGCAATGAAAATACTTCCTCTTTGCTACCGTTTTCCTGCATTTTGCTTTCTAACACCTTGCTTCATCCATCTTGGACACCTGGTTGTGGAGACCTGAAGCCATTGGTGAAGTGACAGCTGGCATGTCTGCTCATGATTGAAATCGAAAGACCAGTTCGACGGCCGAGATGAACTGGCAAATTCATCGCCATCACTGGACTGGACTGCAATCGAACTGCAATTATCGAACTGCACAAATCTCAGAGGTTTTTCCCGCCTTAAAGGGCACACCCGAATTACTCAACGGAAGTCAACGCGGGAAAATAGGTTCGGGAAAGCAGAGTGCTGAGGTTCGAAAACCTCTCCTAAACCTCTCTTCCCCAAAACCAGAAGGGGCGAGACATAAACTGGGCCCAGTTTGTGAAGGCGTTTCGGTAATTCGGGGGCTGGGCTTTAAGCCTGTCACTTCCAACCCCCCTCCTTTGCCTCATGTCGAGCTACACGTTACAACGCTCCTGATATCAGTCCTACTTCCGAAGATAGGCACCACAACCTTCAGCATTCTTTACAGGAGAAAAAACACTTCAACATATCAGCGTGCAATATACAAATACTATGAAAATGGGATTAGGGCGCGTGTGAACTTTCACAAATTTGTAAGACCACACGCGCCCTTAGTTTAACAAATCCATCACATGACTCCAATTCCTACGCTATTCGCATCCAACAGCATTGGATCAAGGCCTCCAATGCCGTTTGACACCATCTCTAGCCCTTGCTTCCTGTTGTAGGCGTTGCTGGTACTGCACCTGCTGCTCCTGCCGCTGGAACCCACCATCTTCCTCCTGCTCATATAGTTTCTGAAACTGCTTATGCTGCTGCTGCCACAAATGGTAGTAATACAAATCCTCATCAACGTCTTGTGGTCCCTGCTGGATCTGCTGGCTTTGGTGCTGTTGCCTCATCTCCCAAGCATCTTCTTCCTCCCCGACCTGCTCACCATCCCACGCCTTCTCTCTCAAGTTAACCCCACTTTCGGTAAATCCACCCCTCATGCCCAGATCTCCAGACCAGCTTCTTTCCAAGCTTGCATAAGAGCGTCGAACCTCGCCATTTGATTCGACGATCGCTGCAACGCCACTCCCTTCCCCACCTCTATCTGCACTGCTGCCGGCGTCCACTCCCCTCCTTGCAGCCCACCCTGAGGCACCTCCCAAGCCCGAACCTGTTGGAGTGGATGAGGCTATGGGGGAAAGAGGTCGGGGGCTGTAGGCTCGAGCAGGGGAGTGTGGGCGACTAAAGGTTCGGCGACGAGCGTTGACTATGACGGACGAGGCCATTCGAGGCTTGGCCGGAGCTGGCCAGGCAGGCATGGAGGGGAGACTTGGGAAGTCCAAAGGAGCAGATCGGTTAAGATTGTTAAAATTGTTAGGACTGTTCATGTTATGCATGTTACGGGACAGGTTGGTGTTGCCCCCGTTAATAGCTCTCGGCTCGTGACCTCTGGCAGCGTTGAAACTCCTGCTGCTGCGGACGAATTGTTGCAGTTCTGCTACCTCTTCGCTTTGACTCTCCTCTCCTCTACCAGAATCGGAACCAAACCGCGCCGCATCCCTTTGTGACCCGCCCTCTGGTCCGGCTACCGCTCTGCACCTTGCGCCACTCCCTTCGCAGCTGCCTCCGCCAGTGCTGGTGTTGCTGCTGCTGTTGCTCCTGCTTACACTAATATCCTCCGTTTCCTCGCCCTCCTCACTTTCCTCTGGCAAATCACGCGCAAGAGAGAGACGAGTGGGGGCAAACGAGTCATGCCTGTGGCTTGGAAGCATGAGAGGCGACAGAGGCTCTTGCCGGGGTACCGCTGGGCGGGTCGGAGCTGAGCTGCTGCCTCGGCACGAGGGTTTAGGCTCGGCAAGAACGGGCGGCTGGGAGGACCGTTTGATTTCAAAAGTCCGGTTGAACTCCATTGACCGGCCGTTGACCGCCGTTGACCCGGCGAGCTCAATCGACCCGTCAAAGCCGCCGTGCTTCGGGGAATACTCCCGCTCCATGGAAATCGGGTCCATCTCCGCCATGTGCTGCATCTCCATCGAACGGTCGAGAATCAACAGCCCATCCCCCACGATAGCACGCTGTTCTTCCATGAACTGACGGAGCTCCAGTGAGTGCCTTAGCTCGAGGGAACGAGTGGTGAGGAGGTCGGCGGAGAGAGATCGAGGAACCACGCAGCTGTCGGCGCCGGGACAGCACGCCAACTTGCCACTTCCCAAAATCGGTCTTCTCGAACGCCCCGTTACAGCGGTGGCGGCGGCGGCCGCCGCCGCAGCGGCCGCTGCTGCAGATGCCGCAGCGGCGGCGGCAGCTCCGGAGCCGGAGCTGCAGGAGATCTTGCCGAGGCTGCTGGCTCGGTGGACGGACGGCACGGAAATGTCTTCCAAGGCTGCGAGCAGCAGCGCTGCGGCGTCCTTCGATTCCGTCGCGCGCAGCGCACCGACTTCCTCCGCCGTGCGGATGAGCGACACAAGAGTCTCCTTGGAAACGCCGCGCGGGAGGCGAGGCGCGGAGGGGAAACGGTTGTCAGCGGCTTCGGACACGTCAGCCGGGTTTTCCGCGGGCGTGCTGGTTGCATTGTTGCGAAAAACTGTGGCAGTCGACGAGACGAACTCTTGGCTAACGCAGGCGTCCGATTGTCCAGGGTTTTCAGCACTTTCAGCCGACCCTTGCTCCCTTTCGATTTCCCCATGTTGCTCGTCCTCTCCGTCATAATCGCCGTCATCGCCGACACCGTCAACGTTAGCGTCATCGTCATCGTCGTCGTCGTCGTCGTCGTCGTCGTCGCTCTCCCCCGCAACCCACCCTCTCCCGCGCGCCCCGTCATTGCGCGACCCAGCGCGGAGAAGCTCGACAGCGGAAACATTGCGCGCGGCCACCGTTCCCGTTCCCCCATGCCCTGATAGCGCCAGTTCAGCGCCATCGTCCGCGAATGCTTCGTGCGCAAGCTCCTGGCTCCGCCGCGTAGAAGAGAGCGGGCCGGAATAGATCGAGGCGCTGCCGCAAGACGATCGGGGCCGTCGATTACGGCGAACAAACATCAAGCAGCAACACGAGGAGAAGAAGCAGTCTGGCTGGTCGCTGCCTCCCTCGTACCGCGCGGGCGAACGCCGTTGACTTCGTTGACTCGAGCGCATCAGGTTCTTTGCCTTCCATTCCCGTTGCCGGCTCGAACCGCGCGCCCGCAATTTCGCCACCTCTTTCCTAGCAGGCACCGCGCGATCCTGCTTTTGCGGCGCCTCTCTCTCTTCGGGGTACACCTGTCCGTACTGCTGCTGAGGTTGCAGCTGCCGTTGCTGGTGTTGATGCCGCCTGGTTGGGTATATCTGCCCTACTACCTCTTCTTGTTGCTGCTGCTGCTGAAGGCGCGAAAGCGCGCCCTGAGCGCTTCCCGTCATGTCTCTGCTGGGGTGAATCGACGAGGTGGAATGTGATCGTGAAGGCAACATCAAGACGCGTGAATTGTTCTCGGCGACGAAGGAGTTAGACTAATTTACTTCATAATTGCTACTGGAGGCTGGTCGTGTGGTGGTGCTTGATCATATCTGGGCGTTGTTTCGAAAGCAGAACGCAGGATAAGGGGTGGGAAGGAGAAAAGGCGCGAAGCAGACAGTAGCTTGGACGAGGCAGTGATGCTGTAAGGTGGACGGATTTGGGTTAGGTTGGAGCGGAAGCACCTGGACTGGTTGGGCATGGCACTTGACAAGATGTGAGGGCTGTAGGAGGGGCGGGTGTAGGCGAGGGGCGCAAATTTGAGAGGTATGGAACGCCGAAGCGCAATATTCGTACGGAAAATTCTGAAACCGCGAGTCGCGCACACCGAACCAGAAATTACTAGCGTCATATTCGAAACGCGCTGACCTGGAGTCGTCACGTCCCCCCATTGAGGTTAGCTTGTGGAGGAAACGAGCCTACATTGGTTTGGTCACTTGACCCGCCCTGCTATTTGGATGCGTTTTAGAACATTCGCGTTTGTCACACCTGCGCTTTGGGAAGGGCGTGTGTACATACGCGGTATAGAGCGATCCAGCAGCGAGTACCATACAGTGAAGAAT